ACTTTTCCCTGGTACTTCTTACTATCCTCATTGTATCTAATAATTGTTGTTTGGTTGCTGTCAGTTTTCCTCACTAGACTAAACTCCATGAGTATACATGCCTTATCCAATGTTGTACTCTTAGTACTTAGAACAGTGTACTCAGAATAAGCACTCAGTAATGATTTGTACAATGGATAAATTGAGGAGGTTTTCAAACAGTTTTAACTGTATTTTGCAGTAAGTATCTTTTCAAAATGTCTTAGAGTTATAGTCAATACCAAAACAGTTTAAGCCCTTTTTTTGAATATACCTTATTTTAAGGCCTTTCCCATTGATTGTAAGCATTTCATAGACCAGGGTACTGTTATGAACAAGGTGGACCCAATCCCTGCTTTTATGGAATTGATAATTTCACAAGAGAGGCATTTTATAAATGATGACAGCGTATGATTAGTATTATGAAAAGGCAAGAGGAAATAATTTATTTGCCATATAACACTTCACACTAAGTATTAGTTGTTTTGAACAGTTTTTATGTTTTCAGGGGCATCAAGGTGAGTTTTAATATTGACCAATGTGGGCAAAATGAGAAGGGATTTTGAAATTTTCAAATTTAAATAGGCTGTGTCTATACATAACAGAGTGAAGAAAGACTTGGCGTGTTTTGATAGGCTGATTCAATATAGACAGACTCACCACAGCGAACAGCACTTGGTTTTGGACTTCTAATAGTGGCAGCTCTTTGCTGAAACGACCCTCCCTCATTCTCAATCCTGGGAGTTTGTAGCCTGAACCCCTCCCACGCACAGTTCCTGGGGTTAAGCATGTGACCCAGACCTAAGCCACTCAGTTCATCATATTCTACCTTGCTTCATCAATCGGCTGACGACGAGCACATGACCCAATCAGAGCCGCTGAGACACCTGGGATCTTGGGGGCGAGTTTCAGATGGGCCTGTGACTATAACTATTGGGACTTGAATTCTTTCCATCATCTAGTTTCCAAAGATGGCAGGGCAGATGGAAAGTGGCAGGTCCCAGAGTGCATATCAGCCTGCTCATATCATGTGAACCCAGAGTTCAACTGTGCTCAAGACTCAGTCTCCACCGCTGGGCTTTTCAGGTATTGCAGCGACAGATCTTAATTGCCTCAAGTTTTCTCTTGGCCGCAACCACCATAGTCCCAATATATTCTCGGAGTGATTACGGTTTGTGAAAGGAAGAAGTATGCTCCTATTTATTAATAGTCATTTTACCTGAAAAATATGTGAAGAAGTGACATGACCTAATACTTCCAACAGCTGACTCTCTTTTACCTATTTGACGTGTGTTTGTCCCCACCTGTGTACCTTATAAAACTTGAGAATGTAGATGCCATTCAAAGGACATGAGCTTTTTCTCTAAAATGATTATACTTAAAAATAATCCATTAACACCCAAATCACCACGTCAAACTGTAAAAGCAAAAATTACACATTTTGGTTTCTAACTCCATAGACTCATCTTTTTTTCCCCCTTTAATGTTTGTTTTACAGCTGAGTTATAAAATAGGAGCATGTAATTAAAATCCTAAGACCCATAATTATAAGCTCCACTGCAGTATAATTGTTAAGTCTTTTGATGATTCCATCACTAATTATGCCTCTTAGAATTTCCAAGTATCACTTTCCCATAAAAATCTGATCATTGTCAGCCTTCAGTCAATATACTTGACTGAATGGAAAATATTGTTTTTTTCCATATATAATCTGTGGCCTACATTGAGTCATTAAACTTATTTTATCAAAGAGAAAAAGATAATGAAACCATAGAAGTAGATTTACATTTATCATTAAATGGTATGCCATTTTTTCTTACAAGGGTTACCATGAAATTATTCTGAAATTATTCTTTATTGAAATTTTTTAATTTAATTTTATATTTAACTTTGATTTTGATTTTCTTTTTTCCCCAACACTGACTGTTGGATGAAATTTTTTAAAGTTTTTCAGACAAGTTACTAGCATGTTGATTTAGCTGATTACTTCCTAATATATAATGGCTAAAAGAAAATAAAAGTATATTAATAGAATGCCACTATATGTTCTAAGATCTGTATTCTAAGATTTGTCACTAACTTTGTGGTACCTTGAATGAGCTAGTTTGAAATGGAGATACTATTCCTTATTTTATGAAAATAGCTCTATCACATCCAAATCTAATCTTTCCTACCCTCCACTTCCTCTCACCTCTCCCCTCTGCCCTACCATTCTTCTTGCCCTGAAAGCCTGGGCTTATTTTCACAAGGTGCTAATTAACTCTTTTCAGTGCACAGTGAACCTGCTTCATATATCTTTCCTGTTTTGATTGATTATTTTATATAATTCGGTTCTTGACTCCTTTCTCAGGTTATCAGTTATACTTCTTTCTTAAAATTGTCTAGTTATTGCCTCAGAGTTTCCAGTATACAATTTTGATTAATCTAAGTGTAGCTTCAGATAATACTGTATGACTTTATAGTTAGTTTGGATATCTTATACAGTTTTTATTTCTGATTCCTCACTCTTGTCACTTGAAATATTGCTGTCTTTATTTCACCTCTGTATATGCCATAATCACCCAATACATTGCTACCATCAAATAAAGTGATTTTTAAATCAATTATAAATAGAAATAGGCACATGGTGGCTCATGCCTGTAATCCCAGCACTTTGGGAGGCTGAGTCAGGAGGATTACTTGAGGCTAGGAGTTCAAGACCAGCCTGGGACCCTCTCTCTACAAAAAAAAAAAAAAAAATTTAGTTTATATTCACTTATACCTTCTCTGTTGTCCTTCCTTTATTTATATAGATCCACATTTCTGACCTGTATCATTTCCTTCTCCCTGATGAACTTCCTTTAACATTTTTTTGCACAGTAGGTCTGCTGGTAATGATTTTCCTCAGGGCTTTTTTGGGGGCCAGGGGGTCTGAAAATGTCTTTCTTTGTCCTTTGCTTTTTTAAAATTGAGATATATTTGACAATTTAAAATTGTACATATTTAAGGTGTGCAATTTGATGATTTGATATAATTTTTTCTTTCAGTACTTTAAATACTTCATTCCACTCCCTTTTTGCTTGCATGGTTTCTAACAAAAAGTCTGCTATAATTCTTATCCTTTGTTATGTAACAAACTCTGGGTTTATTTTACAATGATTTTCTTCTCCTCTGTCTCCTGGAGACACAAGGTGATAATTTCTTGGATCCTCACCGTGAGAACCTAGTAGAGTCCCTGCTAGTAAAACTCATAAAAGTATGGCTACTGCTACCAAGACTGTGGCACCCAGTTTCTAACGCTCATCCTAGTCCATGTTCAGCCTCTAGGAATTCATTAAAACTGCCATGTAAATTTCCCTACCAGTCTATGGCTTTAGCGGCTTCTGCTTCAGGTAGGCAGAGGTTGGCTGTGACTTTCTGGATTTACCTATCTCTCTGTATTTTGAGGTGGCAATTTGCCCAGTGAATCTAGGAAAAGTTGTTGATTTTCATTTTGTTCATTTCTTTTTTATAAAGATGAAAGGTCACTCTTTCTATAGCTCAGAACAGAGTGTCAGGCATTCCTAACATATTCAGTAGCAGAAGTGGAGTGCAAAAAACTCTGGTCCTGGAATTTACATAGGTGTAAATATGGATAAAATCCAGCCTCGTGGTCTGAGTGCTGTGGCTCACGCCTGTAATCCTAGCTCTCTGGGAGGCCGAGGCAGGCGGATCGTTTGAGTTTAGGAGTTCGAAACCAGCCTGAGCAAGAGCGAGACCCCGTCTCTACTATAAAGAGAAAGAAATTAATTGGCCAACTAATATATATAGATAAAATTAGCCAGGCATGGTGGCGCATGCCTGTAGTCCCAGCTACTCAGGAGGCTGAGGCAGCAGGATCGCTTGAGCCCAGGAGTTTGAGGTTGCTGTGAGCTAGGCTAATGCCACAGCACTCACTGTAGCCTGGGCAACAAAGTGAGACTCTGTCTCAAAAAAAAAAAAAAAAAATCCAGCCTTGTTACCTCAGTAACTACGGGCAAGGTTCACCTGGAATTTCATCTCTCATCATTATAACAACCCTGGAGATAGGTCACACTCCATCACCCTTATAGTAGGCTCTAGTGCAGTCTTTCTATTCTGTGGAGTGCTAGTTAGGCATTGCATCAAATGTTAACAGGTGTTACTTTTTTTTAAGTGCTGTGGACAGATGATTAGAACAAATTTGATTAAACAGACATCTCTGTATTATACAACTTTGCAGGGCATTTAATATACTGTGTATTGTGAATTCAAGGGAGGTATGTAGACATAACTTCCTAAAATCATTTGATCATAGGATCTTTCATTTTTTGCATGGAGTATCTGGTGGAACATGTGTTTTGTAGAATGTGCTCTGGGAATTGTTGGTATCACAGGAAACACAAAATTCAGACAAAGATGGACATAGATTTGAATCACAACTCCACTACTTACTGTTTAGGCAAATTTCTTTTAGCTTTATATACCTCCTCTATAAATTAAATACATAACACTCTATTTTTTTTATTTTTTAAGAGATGGGGGTCTCACTGTGTTGCCCAGGCTAGACTAAAACTCCTGGGCTCAAGTGATCCTCCTGCCTCAGGCTCTGAAGTAGCTGGGACTACAGGTCTGCTCCCCTATGCCTAGCTATAATACTCTAGTTTATTGATCCATTATGTATTTAATAATATCATAACAGACAATAGGTATTTCAGGGATCTGCTTCAGGGATTAATATGAGGATTCAATGGTATACATTTTGTGCCTGTCACATAATAAACACTTAACAGTTATTGTTATTTTATCATCCTCAGGCATCAGGCTCCAAAACAGTGGCACGCTCTTCCCCACAGTAGGACCAGTTTTCCTCTGAATCAACATGAAGACTGTTACCCAGTCGTAAGTACTTGAATAACACATCTGGCCTGATGCACTGTGTCAGAAGGATGTGTGTAGGAGTGCGTCTAAATGTAAGTTTCCAAAGCCTGTGTCACCACGGAAATGTCGTTCCATGTTTGGTGAAATTCACAGAGAACATTGCTCAGGCCTTCCAAAGACGGCCCAGGAACAAACTCACTCACTTCTGAGAAAAGTATAGGGCTGGGGCCAGAAGCAATTAATCTGTATGAGCAAGCATTTGGGAGGCCTTCATTTGAAATGAATTACTTGTGCTAATTGGCTAGAAAGTCATTTTGATTGCATATGAGCGTCGCGGCTAACCCATATTGAGCTGTGATGTATTTTCCACCCTGAAATGTCAACATGGTGAGTGAGCTGCCATGGAGAACACCCAGGAAGCAGTTGTGATATGATATCTGATTCCTGTGTGGCTAGCACAGCTCGGTGCTGGATTCAATACTATAATCTTGAACATGTTGATTTAGAGCAATACGCATGATTAGGTGGTTTAATTACATGTTGTAAGGGAAGCTGTGACCTTCCAGTCCCTCCTTGCCATTCTGCATGTGGCACTGTGCTGTTGGGGGGAGGAAGAGAAGGAGGAGGAGACAGATGTGTGTGGTGGGGAAGCTTGACAATAGCAGTGCTCCTTTGTGTAACTACTCAAGTGTATTCGATACTTCTAAAAGCCATGCCGACAATACGCCAGCTATTAGTGGACATCTACTGCTTAAAGAAAATTTGGTAAGAATCGAGTTGCCTTGAATAAGAATCTGGTAACATTACCAGTAAATTGTACATGATGGATGTCCATCATCCACATGTACAATTCCCTTATTTTTAGCTAGTTTGGGAAAGCTAATTACAACATTAAAAATTAAAGACATGATATTCTTGTCTAGCAATCCATTAGCTAACAATGTGATAGCTTAATAATGCCATAACCATCTCATATGGAATCAGAAAAATAAGGCAGTTAATATAAACCCTGTCATGTGTAAGGTGTTTTGCAATTTAAAAACTACTTTCATGTTCATTCATATGTTTTATTATAATGAGAGAAAGTAATACAAGACAAAGCAGGTATCGTTTTCCCAATTTTATAGTTGAAACAGCAAAGCAGAAATGTTAAGTGATTTGCAGTTGTAGTAAAGTTAGGACTTAAACCCAAGCCTCTTGACACCAAGCCCATAGTTTTTCCTCCTCTGGGACATTAGAAAAACCTGAGGACTAGACCTAGAGTTTTGAAATACAAATTAATTCTGCCAGAAAACTGGATTGTTTTTCTACGGCACCAGGGACTGGTTTCATGGAATACAATTTTTCCATGGATGGGGATGTAGGGAAGGTTTTGGGATGATTCAAATGCATTACATTTGTTCTACAGTGAAACCTCTCTGCTAATGATGATCTGTATTTGCAGCTGCTCCCCAGGACTAGCATCACTGCCTCAGCTGCACCTCAGATCATTAGGCATTATTGTCTCATAAGGAGCCACAACCTAGCTCCCTCGCATGTGCAGTTTACAAGTAGGGTTTGAGCTCCCATGAGAATCTAATGCTGCCGCTGATCTGACAGGAGGCGGAGCTCAGGCCATGGCACGAGCGATGGGGAGCGGCTGTAAATACAGATGAAGCTTCCCTAGCTCACCCACCGCTCCTCCTGCTGCGTGGCCTGCTTCCTAACAGACCATTGACTGGTACTGGTCCACAGCCTGGGGGTTGTGGACTGCAGCTCTACAGTGTATATAGCCAAGATTCCCAAGAATGAAATGAGACAGCTTGGCATCATTTGTTAAAAGTTACCTAAGGATAAGGCTGGGCCTGTCTGCACAGGATGGAATGCACTAGAAGGGAAGCATTTATCCAGACAACCAAGACCTCAATCATTTTCACCTGAAATGTCTTGGTAAACGAAATAAAAGGTGCAGGTTCATTTGCAACCTAAATTGTGGGTATAATTGACTTGATTGTTTCTGTGGCTTTATATTTGAATGCAATCACACATAACACCACCAGGCACTGACATTCTCTATCCCAAAACATAAATTACCTCCAAAACAGCATCCTCGGGGTCCTTGGCTGTTGCTCTGTAAATGACTGTGCCCGGGGCAGTATCTTCTCGAATATAAATCTCAGTAACTGCCAGAAAATGTACAATAGATGTGCTTGAATGAGCTTCACCACTACAAGCCCAAAACCCGTCATCCAGTTCTAGATTTCAGATAAAATGTAAGGCATTGTGCTTGCTCAGCACAGATGTTTTTATAGGGTGATTGCAATTAAACACACAATAACAATAATAAAAATACTAAGCACCACTTATCAAGTGACTATTATGTGTTACATAGAGAGCAAAGATATTTATAAATTTAAACATAACAATGTTGAAACTTCTCTGAGTGCTTATTAATTGCTAAGCACTTAACATCATAGGTGACTTTATTATTCTTTCCATTTTACTGAGATTTACAATGACTGAATATCTGGCTCAAGGTCACACAGCTACTATATTAATATTGTCTGATAATTTTATTAATATTTGTCTTCTCCTTAATTTTGTCGTCTTCCCATGTGTTTTTAAAACAGTGGGGACCACGAACTTGCAACTTTGTTGGTCAAACCCCTCTTCTAGGGACCAGGGATCCTGAGGCAGTATGAGGCCGCTGAGAGTCTAAGGGGAAGACCCACCCCAAGAGAAGCTGTTGCACCATATTGCCAAGGAGTCAGGACTCATGGATAGCAAAGGAGGGCACCAAGCCTGCTTAGACTATAGCCAGGTCACTGTCCCACTCATCTAATCAGCAAAACCTCATGAAGTGTCCACAAACTCTCTGCCACCAAGCTCACAGTTTTAGAAGTCAGAGAGCATAATTTGACCTTGGATCTGCCCTGGAGGAATTTATCATCTGCTTGGGGAAGGATAAGGTGGGAGCCTAACATTTATTGGGGACCTGCTGTATCCATGGCACTATGCTTGGCCCTTTAAAACAGTATGTCAGGTGAGCTTTGTGAAGACAGTATTACTATCTGTGTTTAAACAGTGAGGAAACTTGAGACTCAGGACAAGTAACTCTCTCCAGTGAGTGGCCACCCCAACATTTGAGCCTCAAATGTTTTTGTTTATAATAGAGAATATGTAGATATTAAACATTTGGCTATATTGAAAGAGGTAGAGATAAAAAAAAGCAAGACCAGAGTGAAAGAAAGAGATACATGCATGGTAAAAATAGGAAAAATGAGGAGGAAGAAGGAATGGTCCCTGTCCTTCTAGCTTTATAACATACCGTGTTTCCTCGAAAATAAGACCTACCCATAAAATAAGCCCTAGCAGGATTTCTAAGCATTTGTGCAATATAAGCCCTACCCCGAAAATACGGCCTAGTGATGGGCGTGGCTATGAAAATAAGCCCTAGTGGTGGGCGTGGCTATGAAAATAAGCCCTAGTGATGGGCGTGGCTTACGCAGTTCATCTGCATAACCCATGCATTTCGTTGCAGAGCGGGAAAGACAATGAGCAGCTCTTCTCGTCTGCCCCATTGAGACAGCCACTATTCCAGAGGTGACTGGAAAGGTGCAGGCCACCGACAAAGTCTTCTCCCCCTGTCAGGTCCCAGCCATCTTGTGCGGCCATCTTGCGCGTGCTGCAAGCTGAGGCTTTAAGGGGAAAGTCTCCTCAGGGAAGTGAGGAGTGGGATGCTCCACTTTAGGTATTGTGTCCCCAGGGGGAAGAAGGAAAGCTGTGGCTGCCATTTTACTCGGTACTATGGGCCTCTATCACCCCTCACAGACACCAGGGGATTGGACCCAGTGCTCACTGGATCTCTGATAAATAAGCCAGCCCTGCTCATTTAATGAGAGCTCTATTGCTTGAAAGGAGAGATTGGAGCCAATGGTTCTAAAGGAAATAGAGTTGCAACACATTCCCTGAAAATAAGCCCTAGGGTGTCTTCTTGAAGAAAAATAAATATAAGACCCTGTCTTATTTTTGGGGAAACACAGTAGACACACTGTTGTTTAAATAACATACGAGGTCTCCCCTTCTTGGTCCGGTCATGTCTCCTAATCCGGTTCCAGTCTCCTCTCCTCTTCCTGTTCCTGTCATGTCTCCTATTCTGGTTCCAGTCTCGTCTCCAATTCCGGTTCTGGTCTGGTCAGGTCACCTCTTCTGGTTCTGGTCATATCTCATATTCTGATTCCTGTCTAGTCTCCTATTCTGGTTTTGGTCACATCTCCTATTCCAGTTCCGGTCTCGTCTCTTTGTTGCAGTCACGTCTCCTGTTCCAGTTCCGATCTGGTCACCTCTTCCGATTCCCATCTCGGCTCTTCTTGTTCCCGTCTGGTCTCCTTGTTCCTGTCACATCTCCTATTCCAGTTCCGGTCTCATCTCCTCTTCCTGTTCTGGTCACGTCTCCTGTTGTGGTCTTGTCTCCCTTTCTGGTTCCGGTCTGGTCACCTCTTCCGGTTCTGAGCATTGAATAAAGTAATCCAGTTAAAGCTTCTATGACATTTGGCCCGCGGCCCTGGAAGCCTCTAGACGCGGAGCCAGGCGAGCAGCTGCTGGCTGTGAGGAGGCTTTGAGGTGAGTGCTGCCTTCGCCACTTTTCGCCACGCGCTGTCTGCCCTGGGCCTGCTGCCACCGTCCTCCCTAGCCCGGCTCTGCCCCAGGGACCTGCCCTGGGCTGTAGCTGCTGCAGGGAGCCCGAGGAGGTGGGCACGTCTGGGCAGTGGGTCCTTTGTTTTGCCACCACGACGGGCAGCGGCAAGCGCTGAAGCGGGGGGAGCAGGAGGCTGGGCCCGGGGGACCCTCGAGATGAGAAGCCAGGCAGGGGCACCGAGCTGGGGGTGGGGGGGCGCAGGAGACCGGGCCGGGGACACCGAGCTGGGAGGCCGGGAAGCCAGGCTGGGGTAGGTGGTGGGAGGCCTGGCGGCCGTGCCAGGGGCCCAGGAGCCTGGGAGTGGAAGCGGGAGGCAGCTAGATGGTGGGAAAGCAATGCTGAAGACTCAGGCGTGGATCGGGAAGGGAGGAGCGGGCGGTGGCCTGGTGCTGACCATGAGGCACTGGCCCTTGGGGCTGATCCTCTCTTTATAGGACAAAGATGTTTGGTCTTTGCTGCCTTCTGCGTCTGGAGCCCAGATTTTCTCGTATTGACTGTGTGGTTTAGTTCTTATAGAGAGCTAATTCGAAGCATTAAACTCCAACTGTGTAATAAATCCTTCCAGCTCATACCTGCGGCTGTGTATCCAAGGCCAAAATCAGGTGTGGGCAGCCTTGAAATCCCTCAGGCCATGTTGAGTTAGAGTGCTTTTCTCACATTTGTCACTCTTGTTTTCAGTGGGTCTGCTTAACCAGTAAGTAGGACCCAAGCAGGAAACCAGAAACCATCCCTCTCAGCTCTCTCTCGCCCACCCCCAGCCCACCCCAAGTCAACCAGCCTCTTCGACCTCCACAGTGTCTGCCAGATCTGTCCACTCTCCGTCTCTGACGTCAGCCACGCTGGGCTCTCACCAGACCACAGCAGCCTTTGCCTCCCCACTTCCAGTGCATTCTTTACGCACAGGCAGAGGGAAAGCAGTCCTAGGGGAAACCCAGCCCTTAACTGGTCAACAGAGCCCAGCGCTGGCTGGGTCCTGAGAACACTCCCCTGCCCCATCTTCATTTTGGCACAGGTTCCCCTCAAACCTGTTCTCTGCCTGAAACACTTTTGCACTTCCTCTCTCACCCCGTCACATGTGCTTAGAATAGAAGCTCCTACTTATGTTTCTGCTCTCATTAAACGGTTCAAGGGACATGTCATATCCTTTGCAGTTGCTTGTTTGTGTCTTCCCTACCAGATGGTAAGCAGATGCCATGAGGGACTGACTTTATCATGGTGCTCCTTATTGTCTTTCCCCATATCCAGGGCCTGGCGCAGGTGAATGCCCATCCATTATCCATTGTTTTTACACTAGTATTATTCTTTTTAACAACAATGCCTTATCTAGGAAAAGTAAATCTGTTTTAGGATTATTTAGCAAATTGTAATTAAAATGTGGATTAGGAAGGAATGGCAGAGGTGAAATACGGAGTCACCGTAACAGTATGAACATGCAAGATAGCAGATGGCGGGGCTAAGCAAGGAGGTTAGACCAGCCTGAATGAAAGTGTGCTCAGCCACTTTGTGCTCTGGTTACATGATCTTTGAAAATGGCATGTAAGGCTTAAATCATCCCTATCACAACAAAAATATGAAATAGAATTTTAAAGACGCTCCTATGACAGTTCCTGGTACATAGTGCCCAGTGCCAGCCATTTATCCTTACTGACATTGTTATCATTCTCCTTATCTCTGTTGTGGCCATGATACTTGGAGAGCACCAGGGCACAGTGTCTACATGTGTGTGTCCACTGCAGCCTTCTTCCCCCAAGAGAAGAGCTCTGTACCTTGGTCCCGCTGGGCAAGGGATCCAGAGAAGGTGGGCGGCTCATTCACATCCGCAATCTGGATTAAAATGGCCTGTGATGCTGTTGTCCCTTGGTTGTCTTTGGCATAGATCACCAGGGAATAGATCTTCACCGTCTCAAAGTCCAGCTTGGGGACTCCGGTCGTGGATAACTAAATTAAAAAAATAATAATAAAGTACAGAATGATGGACTGAATGACTGGCTTCATAAGGCTGTAGATGGAATATTTTAAATTTATAATCCCCAATATCCATCAGCATTTTTTAAAAAACACATAAAAATCTTGTACGCAAAATGTGGAAGCAAGGTGATTTGATTTATTAAAAATCTCCATGAGCAAGGAATTCACTTATATCAAATGGTTTCTCCATTTTTTTCGCCTTTCCATGATTCTTCCTATTACATTAAAAAAGTTCACCATTCGTTGAGTCCCTCTCCCACTTTAGTTTCTCAGGGTCTACCCTGAGCACTTCACAAACATCTCATTCTATCTTTGAAATTGCAAGTGGGTGCTGTTATTGGGTATGTTTTATAGATGCAGAAATTAAAACTGGTAGTGGTTAAGCAGCTTGGCCAAGTTTTCACAGACAGGAATACAATGGCTCTGGACTCCACCTTACTTCATGCTCTTGCTCATGAGTCTAAACTGCCTGGCACCTAAAATGGATGAAAAAGAAAGATAAGAGCTCCTCTTATCCCTCTCCTGTTCAGTCACACCACATCTGTTTGGTTTCCTTCGTGGTTTTCACACTGCCCTATTCAGGAACCCCCTGAGGTTGAGCATCGAGAGAACTGGGTTTGGCTGGATGTGGTGGCTACGCCTGTAATTCTAGCATTCTGGGAAGCCAAGGCAGGAGGATCGCTTGAGGCCAGGAGTTAGAAACCAGCCAGAGCAAGAGACCCTAACTCTACAAAAAAAGAAAAGAAAGAATAAAAAAGGAGAATTAGCTGGGCATGGCATGGCGGCATGCACCTGTAGTCCCAGCTACTTCAGAGGCTGGAGCAGGAGGATTGCTTGAGCTCAGGAGTTTGAGGCTGCAGTGAGTTACAATGATGCCACTGCACTCTAGCTGGGGTGACAGAGTGAGACTCGGTCTCCAAAAAATATAAGAGCGAGAGAGAATATGGGCTTCAAGTTTTACTGCCAGAATGAAATGGCTCCAGGATTTTGGCCATCGTCCTTCAGTTCTCTGGCTTGGATGTCTTTATCCTTACATAAAAGCCTTGAAAGTTATGTTGCTAATGTCCTTTCTGTGTCTGTTCATGATGTGGGTATGTTAGGGAATGGTTGTTTCTAAAGCTATCTTATTGGTAAAGTAACAGAAAACAAAGATTTTATTGAGTAGCAAAATCCACTGGAAAGGGTTGGGTACTTGTCTTTGGACATTCTTTGTCAAACCACGAACTCCTTGTGTATGATGATTATGGGTTCAAAGTCAATACTAATACTTACATGTATTGAGCACTTATACGTACCAATTACAAGTGTTTAATATTAGTTATATCATTTAACTACCCCCCCCAAGAAAACCAATGTGATTGATACTATTATTATGCCCATTTTATAACTGGAAAGGTGAAGGCTTAGAGAGATCACCCAAAAGGAACAGAGACAGACTGTGAATCCAGACTTTGACACCAAAGTCCATGCTCTTGCCCACGTGCTACACTACTGACATGGCTGCCTTCTCGGTAATAGAATCACTGACTCTCGGAAGAAAGGAACGTCATAATGCCATCTCACCGGCCCCATACTGATAAGGAATGACATTTGCAAAGTATTTTCTTTGTGCCAGGCATTGCTCTCAGCTCTTTCCTTCATTTAATCACCAAAACAAGCCTGTGAGTGGGGCGTTATGTTATCCCCATTTCCAATATGAGGAAACGAAAGCTTAGACTATATAAGACAACTAAGAAAGTTTATGCTGCAGGAAGAGGCAGGACCTAGACCTGACCCTGGCCGGTCAGTCCCCGGAACCCTTGAGCTGACGGCCACACCTGAGTGTTACTCTCACAATTCCATGAAAAGCCAGTAATACATTGATATTTGACAGCACTATCCTCTACTGAGGCCTTGTCATAGGTTGGACATTATCTCTTCGATTCTCACAGTTATCCCATAGAATAAATGCTATTATCATCCCCATGCTACAGATGAGGAAACTGAGGCTCAGAAGTTAGACGCTTTGCCCAAGGTGACACAGTAAGTGACAGAGCTGAGGTTTAAAGCCATGTCTTCCTGACTCTGAAACGCCTCTTTTCATCATACCCTAAAGCTGCTTAATTTAATGCCATAGCCTGATTTTTTAAGATCTGTGTGGTTTTCTAGCTTTGATTAGGTACATCCTTGTCCTCAAGGAACTCTGTTACCCACGTAGCACAACCCAGGGCTCAGGCTGGCCCTTCCGGTGTGGTTCCCTTTGCCCTCGGAGCCCCATGGGGACCGCAAATGTGTCCCTCTTGCTCCCCAGCATCTTACATGGCTCCACATCCATTTCCAACAAGTATTTGTTGAACTAATGCAAATGCCTATTCTTTCACGATGCACTGGAAAAAGACAGGAAGTTGGTTTAAGTCTCCTTCTGGTAGATCACTCCTGCACAGGGGACAGGAAGTGTACACAGAAGGGGTAACTTGGGTTCATTTTCCTATCCTGCCTGTGCAACCGCATTGATGTTGCTCGATGACAGGTAGCAATTTGAAGGTGACATAACGGGAGCGTACCTTGTCTCATTTCCATTGAAGTATCTATATAATCAGTTCGCTTCAAGCTTTGCTATTGTTTGCCGCTGTTTCTCCTGGAGACTAATTTGGCGTATATTTGGTGATGATTTTTTGTTGTTCAACTGTCTGACCAGTCACCCCTCCTAAGCTCAATCAGTCTTTTGCAAACCGAACAAGCATATATGCTATGAGGAAGGAAGTTCAATAAAGGATAATGATATGTTAAACTCCAAATATTCCCCTTTATGCTGTAACACTGTAGAGACAGATATTAACTCAATTGGTTTAGTCTTTATCTGCAGGTGTGTTTCCATGCTATGAAGCTGTTGCATAATTGAACTGCTTCTAAAGCTATCTAAAGCTAGTCTATTACTCAGTTCTGATCATGTGGCCACCTCTTTCTTATGGTTTCTTTATTACCAGTAATCTGGCTGTAATAACTCTGAATGTTGAAGTATAAATATATTTATTATAGTAACAGCTACTGTGTTTTAACCGCTTATTATGGATCAAGCAGTAAGATGACACTTTGCATACATTATCTCGTTGAATCTTCTTACTAATCCCCAAGGGAAGTGGTATTATTATTATTAATTTCATTGCACAGGAAAAATAAAACCCATAGCACAGAAAAATCAAGCAACTTACCCAAGGTCATGTTGCTATGATCTGGACAAGTTGTGGTTAAAAACTAGGTTTATCAGGCCTCAAAATCCATGCTTACAGTAGTTATGCTCACTCCCTCCCTCCCTCTCTCTTCTCTCTCTCTCTCTCTCTCTCTCTCTCTCTCTCTCTCTCTCTCTCTCACACACACACACACACACACACACACACTAAGCAAAACTTTTTTTTTTTTTTTTGAGACAATCTCACTCTGTTGCCCAGGCTAGAGTGCTGTGGTGTCAGCCTAGCTCACAGCAACCTCAAACTCCTGGGCTCAAGTGATCCTCCTACCTCAGCCTCCTGAGTAGCTGAGACTTCAGGCATGAGCCACCATGCCCGGCTAATTTTTTTCCTATATATTTTTACTTGGCCAATTAATTTCCTTCTATTTTTTAGTAGAGATGGGGTCTCGCTCTTGCTCAGTCTGGTTTTGAACTCCTGACCTTGAGCAATCTGCCCACCCTGGCCTCCCAAAGTGCTAGGATTAAAGGCGTGAGCCACCACGCCTGGCTTAAGCAAAACTATTGAACACTCTTTGCTGCTGTTTAGACTTATAACAAAAATCTAATTAAGAACAAGCATGAGATAGCATTTCTCACCAAACTGAAGTTGGAAGCAAATTTAAAAGTCTGACAATACCAAGATTTGGCAAGAATGTTCAAGACCCTGAGAATAGACCTCCCTTGCCCCTCTATAACCTTTTCTCACAACAGCTGTTTAAACTGCAAGCAAATCATGTCTCTTTTCTGCAAAACTCTCCAGTGGTTTCTTCGATGGAGAAAGTGGATTTAATGTCCCCAGTTCTTTACTCTTTTCTGTATTCTGTTCTTTGCCACGTGACTTAGCAGTTCCTGCTAATAAAAACAGGGTATATTTCTTCAGCCCATGGCTTGGACATGTGACTTGCCCATTAGCCAGTGGGATATGAGCAGACATGAGTCCTGCAGTGTGCTTATGGGGTTGGCTTTATCCTCTTGCCCTCCTCCTTTTGCCTAGAGAAGGATGTGTCTCTGCTAGCCAGTGTCCCAAGGAGAATGCAAGGCACAAGAGACAGGCCTAAACTCAGCCCAAAGCATGGAGCCAAACCAAGCTAGATCAGCTAAACCACACATTGCTCTTAAGGACTTCATGACTTGTGGCACTGCAAGCAGCATGAGCATCATGTTCACATTGGGCCCCTTGCCCTCCAGTCCCATGGGGGCAGTTCAGGGGGCCCAGGTGAATGCTGTGCATGAGGACAGTTGGGATCATAGTTGAGGAACCCTGATCTCCGGGAACCCAAATCACTTATAATGAGCCATAAGCTTCCTGAACTTTGCTCCAGAGGAGAAATTAGCTTTATAATACCTAGACAGTAAACTGAACTTCCTACCATGGCTCATGGTGGGTGATTAGACTGCAAAGGAGACCAGGGACAGAGCCTGCATGTCTATGAGGTTCTCACCATGCTCTTTGCCACAGGGACTTTGTATATTGCTGTTCTCTCTACCTGGAGCATTCTTCTCTCCTTTATCATCGATTTCATTCCTATCCATTCTGCATATTGCTTTTCATGGAGCCCTTCCTCAGCCAAGTCTGATTAGGTCAAATGTCCCCCTTAGGTGCTCCCAAAAACTCGTGGGCCTTTCATGGCTCTTACTGCATTTACAATTTTATACTAATGTGTGTATTCACTTGATTAATATGTCTCTATATGAACCAGTAAATTCCACAAGGGCAAGGAATTGGCCTGTGTCCGAGTAGATCCTCCATAATTATCTGTAAGATAAATGGATCTTGACATAACCAAGGATTTTTAGAGTTTCTGACACATAAGTTTCCAATGAGTGGATGCTAAGTTAATAACATACTGTAGAAATTAAGAAGGGAGAGGATGATACCGTAGTTTCATTTTTATTTATTTATTTATTTAGAGACAGAGTCTCACTCTGTTGCCCAGGCTAGAGTGAGTGCCATGGCATCAGCCTAGCTCACAGCAACCTCAGACGCCTGGGCTCAAGCCATCCTCCTGCCTCAGCCTCCCGAGTAGCTGGGACTACAGGTATGCGCCACCATGCCTGGTTACTTTTTCTATATATATTTTTAATTGGCCAGTTAACTTCTTTCTATTTATAGTAGAGACGGGGTCTCGCTCTTGCGCAGGTTGGTTTCGAACTCCTGACCTTGAGCGATCCACACGCCTCGGCCTCCCAGAGAGCTAGGATTACAGGCGTGAGCCACTGCGCCCGGCCCGTAGTTTCATTTTAGAGCCCTTTGGGTACCAAGTGATAATACTGTTGCCTGTGTACTTACTTCCCACAGACGTGTGGATCTCCGAGACAGCACAAATGGATGGACAGCAGGATTCGCATTGATAATAACAGGGTCTCCAACTAGAGAAGCCCCAGGTGAGACAGACACAGTGATCCTGGCAACCCGTGTATGTTCAGAGGCATTTTCCAGAAGAGGGCTCACATTCTCAATGACAAAATTTGGAAAAGCTAGAAGACCTTAGAGGAAACACAAAATTTTACTTTTTTAAATAAGGATTTCTGCAAGGCTTCTCAATCTCTTTTGTATTGTAAAACCACAAAGGAAAAGTGCAGTAAGTATTTCAAGTTCCTTTTTTACCGTGTTTCCCTGAAAATAAGACCTACCCATAAAATTAGCCGTAATAGGATTTCTAAGCATTTGTGCAATAGAAGCCCTACCCCAAAAATAAGCCCTAGTGATGGGCGTGGCTATGCAGCATATCTACACAACCCATGCATTTCATCACGGAGCGGTAAAGAAGACCAGCAGCCCTTCTCATCTGCCCCATGAGAGCTCTGGTGCTCCACATGAGAGATTGGGGCCAGTGGTTCTAAAGGAAATAGAGTGGCAAGAAATTCAGGATGGAATTCAGGGTTTGGTGAGTGATGATGTTCCAGAAGAAGATGACTTAACTATATTTGAATCAGTGTAGATTGTTGTACTGTCCTTAAAAAAAAAATTAACACATACCCTGAAAATAAGCCCTAGTAGAATGCCTTCCTGAGGAAAAATAAATATAAGATCCTGTCTTGTTTGGGGGAAAACACGGTATTAAAAGTTTTGGTGAGTTGGCTTGGTAGGGTCATTAAGAACTGTGAAGGATCTGAGAACTTATCCCAAGGACAAGAGATCTGAAAAAACTAGTTGAATGTCTTTAATGGAGATTGTAAAATAATGCTTCCCAGCTGGGTGTTGGACATCAGGGAGCAGTGGGAATTGTGGTAAAACTAAGAGTTTGTTCCCACTACTCAGCCTACGTAGGAATGTGGGCTATGTTGCCAGGTCCCCTTATTTTTTAATGAGGATCCTGAAATGGAGATTTTTTATGTGAAATCTGATATTCGAAACATCTTACAGGCCAAACACATCTAAGAGCCTCAAGTTTGTGACTCCAGGTTCAAGATAAAAAATATATATATATTTACCTGAACACCAAAAAACCAAAATATAACAAATTTAGTTGAAATAAAATGTTTCTTAGAGTTCATTAGAGCTTTACTTTTAGATGTCCCACCCTCTGAGTTGATGTGATCAATTCACCAGTTATTTTAATTTCAAAAACTCTAAGAGAGAGAAGGATAAAACAGGAGCAGTAGATCATTTGAATAGTCCATACAGTTAAAAAAAATCAGTCTAAAGCATTTCTAGGACTACAGAATAGCTCCATCCAACATGTAATCTAAAATTTTCTATAGCCACATCTGTAAAAAGATTTTAAAAAGTAGATAGAAATAATTTTAATATTATATTGATTTGACCCAGTATATTTAAAATATCGTCATTTCAACAATAATTAACATTTTTAAATGCTAGTAACATATTTTATGTTATTGTAGTCATGCAAAATCTTTGAACCAGTATGTATTTTATGCTTACAGCCCAACTCAGTTCAGACTAGCCACGTTCAAGTCCTTGCTGATCATATGTGGTTAGTGGTTACTGTATTAGACAACACAGCTCTGGAAGTCTGTTGTTGGTTTTGCGGATGTTATCACTTATTTTTACTGGGAATACAAATCTAATCATGTCTAACCAGAAAGTTTGAGATCATAGCAGAGAAGGATTTTTTTTTCTTTCCGTTTTAAAATAGCTACATTTATTCTTAGAATTGAACCTATTTTGCTTCATTTTTTGTTGGCAATAATGACAGTGTGGCTCTTTCCCAATTCCAGAAGCTCCTGATTGCAAAGCAAATGGTTGAACTCATTAATTGGGTTATCTTATGAAATCAATTCATGCAATAACCACCGAAAACATCACTTAAACCAATGTCTTCTTTTTATGCATTCACAATTTGGATGATTCATTTTTAAATTTGGGGGCTTGATTTTTTGGTATAAATATGATTCATATTCTTTTTCTAAGTCAAATAATATATATAAAGAAAAAAATTTAAAACTACATGTTCTTCCTCATGTCTGCTGCTCTACCACTTCCATTCCAGAAAAAAAAAAAAAAAAATCACTGTTAAATCTTTGGTATATATGAATCCAGAACTCTCTGTGCCTGTTTGCATGTGGATATAGGTAGACTTTTAAAAGAAATCTTGTGTTCATAGTTTTAGGACATCCTATCTCCACTTTACAGTGTATCACAGATTATGTTTTAACTTGTAATTCAAAACACGAAAACTTGCCTCTTCATTACACCAATATTCATAGTATGTACGGGGTACCATTTATTTAATCCTCTATTGATGGACATATAGATTGCCTCTAGTTTTTTTTTTGGGGGGGGGGATTGTTTTTTGTTTTTTTTTTCTTTTCGAGACAAGGTCTCACTCACTCTGTTGCCCAGGCTGGAGTGCATGGGGTCATCATAGCTCACTGTAACCTTGAACTCCTGGGCTTCAGCGATCCTCCTGCCTCAGTCTCCCGATTAGCTGTACGCCACCACACCCAGCTAATCTTTCTATTTTTTGTAGAGATGGGGTCTCACTCTTGCTCAGGCTGGTCTCAGACTCCTGGCCTCGAGCAGTCCTCCCACCTCAGCCTCCCAAAGTGATGGGGTTACAGGCGTGAGACCCACTGCACCCAGCCCCAGTTTCTGCTATTACAAATAAAGTGACGTATGTCTTTATATCACTGTGTATGTCTGTAGGATAGTTCCCAAGGGCAGCATGCTGGCTCTGAGACTGAAGATTTCAGATACTGGTAGCTGTTGCCAAATTGCCCTCCAAAGAACTTGCTCTGATTCCCACTCACGTCGGCTGCATCTGAGAGGACATTTTGATGGAAATGTCAGCTTTCCAATGTGGTACAGACACAGAGTACGTGACGACTTCAAAGACCAACACTGAGCAGTTACTAAAACGAGTCAAAGCAAACCAAGTGGTAGACAACCAAATAATTATTTCAAAGATACACGATACGCGTCCACAGTTAAAAATACTAACCTGGGGCAGCAGCCAACACAAAAAGCAAATGAAAAAAAGACATGATTTGCTTGAAAGCCTCTTGTGTCTTCAGAGTCACTTTGCTCCAGCTGGTGCCTTCGCTGACTTCTAGTGAGTTCCCTCCCTGGGGAAGGAGTCCTTTCAGGAGAAACATCCCGTCTCTAGGCACCTTGTACACACTTGCCCATGACACAGTTCTCCCGAGTGATCCGTAAAGTGACACCTTCTTCTCTGTAAAGGGCAAAAGCTCCAGCTAGGGGATTTGCTAGAGCCAAGTGGAAAAAGCCCCAAATCCTATTCCTCCACATGCAAGTGTCTCCCACATCCTGGTAAATCAAGGTGGTCACTAACTCCGGTTGGTGAGGACTCTTTGGGAAACTCATTCCTTTTCAAAAAGATTCCATTTAATAATGACTCCAAGTCACTAATGTCACTGTCCCGCCCTTGTCTGTGTGTTTACCACACCCTGACTTGGGATCAAAACCCAGAATCTCAGCTTACCAAGTTTGCAGAGGGTTTACAAGTTGCTAGGTGAGGTTAGTATGCAACCAGATAGCAAAAAGATGCAAAACAGTCTACTATTTGGCCAAGAGCCAGTTGAATGGTAGTGATTAAGTTGAACTTAAAGCTTGCTTTTAATAGGGTGAATGTTGGGAAAAAAGGGGAAATAAATAAGTTAAAACTTGCAGGTGGTGGAGGGGAATCAGCTTTAGGTTCACTGATGGGAGAGAACCAGCTGAACAGAGAGTTAACATAGAAATATCTCTGGGCCGGGTGCGGTGGCTCACGCCTGTAATCCCCTGGGATCCACTCTGGGAAGCCGAGGCTGGCGGATCCTTTGAGCTCAGGAGTTCGAGACCAGCCTGAGCAAGAGTGAGACCCTGCCTCCACCAAAAATAGGAACAAAATAATTGGCCAACTAAAAATAAATAGAAAAAATTATCTGGGCATGGTGGCGCATGCCTGTAGTCCCAGCTACTCAGGAGGCTGAGGCAGGAGGATCGCTTGAGCCCAGGAGTTTGAGGTTGCTGTGAGCTAGGCTGACACCATAGCACTCTAGCCCAGACAACAGAGTAAGACTCTGTCTTAAAAAAAAAAAAAAAAAAAAAAAATCTGGAGGCAGCAAATTGGTGACCAGCAGGCTAAATATGGCCTGCAGATCACATTTTTAAATGCACAAAAGGCTTCTTAAAGATCTGAAGTTAAATCACATTTGATTGGCCCAGCATTCTATAGTTTACCACAATTCCCACCCCTCCCTGTTATACCCCACAGGCTGCTTCTCACATTTCCCTGCCTGGCTCCTTTGAACATTCATGTTTGCAATCTGACTTAGAGGTTTCTATCAATTGCCATCTCAGTAGGAGTCAACTGTTGTCATGGTTACCTAAATAGGATTATGCAATCTCAGACATGTCCAATGGAAGGATGATGTTGAGAACAAGACCAGACTTCACCCTGCTCCGGCTGGCTTTTTGGCTTTTCAGAGGAGCATATACAAATGTCCAGGGAATGATCTCATGGGGGTGGCTCCAAGCCATGTCCTGTGAAGGATGATTGAAAAGAAAAGTAGACTCGTGGGTGACTCTTGAGTTGGCGCCCTTCTCTCTGAGTCCACTCCCCCGTTTAGTTAAGCCACCATAGTCTTACACTTGGAACCCAGTTTGTGTCAGTATTACACTTCCTAAATATTTCCTGAATCTATCCACTTCTGTCTCACTCCTCCTAACCAGCACCATCTCTAGCCTGGACCAGTTGCCCATGTAATGCCTTTTCAACAACCACAAGTTTTTCTTCTCCATTGTTATTTTCCAAGCTGCACACAGCAATCTTTCTAAAACACGTGCATCACTGTGCCCTCCCTTGTCACTTCTGTCCCCACCACATTGGTCCTTTCCCTGCCCTCAAACATGCCTAGTTCACACTCCCCTCCGACCTTTTGATCATGTAGTTTTCCATCTTTGAAATGCCTCTCCCAGATCTCAGCATAGTTTGTTTCCTTTTCATCATTGAATGTCTCACCCTAAATGCCACTTCTTTAAGAGGTCTTTCTCGGTCACTTTCTACCATGTTTTCCTACTTTTTTCATAGTGTTCTTTAAGTACCTGAAATAGTTTATCTGTGTGTTAACACGTTTAGTGGCTGTGGCCTCCACTAGGATTGTAATTTCCAGGCAAGGATTCTAGTCATTTTCCTCACTTCTAGTTATTTTCGTCATTTCTAGTGCTGAATCTTACTTCCCCAAATAAATATGTATGGACTAGCTCCTTAAAAACCCTCACTGATTTCCTGTCTCTCTAAAGATCAAGACCAAAATCGTTAATTTGCTCCACGGGACTCAGCAAGTTTGGCCCTACCGTGTTTCCCCGAAAATAAGACAGGGTCTTATATTTATTTTTCCTCAAGAAGACACCTTAGGGCTTATTTTCAGGGGATGTGTTATTTTTTTTAAGTACAGTACAACAGTCTACATTGATTCAAATATAGTTTAGTCGTCGTCTTCTGGAACATCATCATAATTCTACAAACCCCGAATTCCATCCTGAATTTCTTGCGACTCTATTTCCTTTGGAACCACTGGCCCCAAACTCTCATGTTGAGCAATAGAGCTCTCATGGGCAGATGAAAAGGGCTGCTGATCTTCTTTACTGCTCCTTGACAAAATGCATGGGTTGTGCAGATGTGCTACGTAGCTACGCCCATCACTAGGGCTTATTTTGAGGGTAGGGCTTCTATGGCACAAATGCTTAGAAATCCTGCTAGGGCTTATTTTATGGGTAGGTCTTATTTTGGGGGAAACATGGTACATATCTCTCCAGCTTATCATACATATCTATCCTTTGTTCCAACCACCCTGGCCATCTCACTGATTTTCAAAGACATTGGACTTCTTCCATCTGACGGCTTTGGTACTTGCTGTTCCATCTGCCTAGGACACACAGATCTTCACGATTGTGTCTTTTTCTTGTTCAGCTCTCAGGAGCAATGACTTCATCAATCAGGCTTTCCTGACCCCCTTATAAAGTTGCTTAGTCACTCTATCCTACTGTTGTCTTTTATTTTTTTAATAGCATTTACTACTAGTTAAAATTATTTTTTTTTATTTTCTTGTTTGTCTTCAGCCTCTACCACAGCATTTTTAGTTATATTAGTCTGGAGATTTGGTGTGTGTTGTTCATTTCGGTATTCCTAGAGTCTGGGGTAGGTGCCCAGCAACCACGAGGCATTCAAATATTTGTTGAATAACTGAGTGACTAAAACAACCCTGGGAGGTAGCAATTATTACCTCTGTTTTACAAATAGGAAAATGGAGGTTCATAGAGGTTTCGTCACCTGCCCAAGGACCCATAGCTTGTAAGGGCTAGAGCTAGAATTGAAATCCAAACCCAGCTTAATGGTGTCTGTCTATGCCCTAACACCTTCCACCTGTCCGGCTCTTTCTAGTTCCATCATCAGCTTCAGGACTCTTGGGAACCTACACATATTGTCACAGAAGTCAAGACAGCAAATGTTTCAACTTATTGCAAATACACACACACAGAGACTCACACACACAGATATGTACAAACATAGACACACACACATAAATAAAAAAAAAGCTCTCTTTCCTAATGCAAAATTAATCCCATTTATCCAGATATTTGACTGAATACAACAGAATGAAGACAGCAATACCAGTAATTGCATGAAAACTGTTGGCCCGTGGTTAAAGAAAATGCTCATTCATGTATTCATTAATCTAAGCACCTATTATTTATTGTGCTCTGGGGATGCCAACAGATGAGGGAAAACAGACCCGTTAGGAGCACACGCCCGTGTGGCCAAGGCATGTCTGCTATGGTATATTTGAGTGAGAAGAGCATCTGTACCCACTCTCCTTGGATGTTCCCTAAAATGCAGATTCCTGGGTCTCATTTCCTGCTAAAGGACAATTTCTATTTCACTGGATTGTACCATAAAACTATGGCTTGACTGCTATTAGTATTCTCATTTCAGAGATAAGAATTATCTTTGCACCGGTTAAACGAATTGACTAAGGTCACCCAGCTGGGCTGCAACAAGAACATAGGGCTAATTCCCAAACCCACTCTCTTAACCCCTCAAGGTTACACACTTTGGCTGGGTGCAGTGGCTCACGCCTGTAATCCTAGCACTCTGGGAGGCTAAGGTGGGAGGATCGCTCAAGGTCAGGAGTTCGAAACCAGCCTGACCAAGAGTGAGACCCCGTCTCTACTAAAAATAGAAAGAAAATTAATTGGCCAACTAAAAATATATAGAAAAAATTAGCCGGGCATGGTGGCACATGCCTGGGCAACAGAGTAAGACTCTGTGTCAAGAAAGAAAAAAAAAAAGGTTACACACTTCATTCTTTGTGTGTGTGTGTGTGTGTGTGTGTTTCCTGAGTCTTGCATTGGGCATTTTCTCTGCCCCACACTTCATTCTTGACCACTTGAAAGCTCTTTCCCCCAGTACTGGAATGTACAAGACCCGGCCAGCATCATCAGGGTCTCCTGTGAGTTTGTTAGAAGTGCCAGTTCTTCGATCCCACTGACATGTTACTGGAAAATCTGCATTTTAACAAGATCTCCAAGCAGTTTGTGTGCACTGGTAAGTTTGAGAAGCATGCATCAGATTACTGATGAATACCAACACAGAAAGCAGAGTAATTCTTATATCTCCCAAAATCTTTTGAGAGGAGTTTTCCTTCTTAAGCACCCCATTATTTCAGACTGAGCAACTGCTAGCGCCAATGGAGAGTGACAGGAATAAATCCTGGTGTCTCCTGCCACCTTGTGGTGAGAAGGCCCAACCCAGGCGGAATTCGTTCTCCGACAAATAAATGGGGCGACATTGGAAGGGAGGGGCGGGCCAGGTCCTCAACTTTCTCAGCAGTGTGCTTTGAGAGAGTACTACAGAATTCCAAGATACAATGAAATCCTTTGGGGTACATTTTCAGATGTCCCAACAACAGCTGGTCTTTTCATGTGTGTCCCACGCAGGACACAGAGAGAGAGCGCGTTCAGCAGCGCTGATTGAGAGACCTAACAAGTTCAGTTTATGTTTATCAACAGATCGCTGGTATTTTTACAGGTTCCTTCCCCTTTGGAGTTCAAACACGCACATCCGAATGTGGTGGTCAGTTGGTATGAGGGTGGTTTTATTGCTTATCTAAATGGCGGTGGCTGGACAATCAGATCACTATTTCTGCATTTGCCTTGTCCAAGAATCTACAAAGTGTTCCACAAAGTCCCATGGAATTTCAGACAGCTCTGTCAAATGCATCATCGGTGACCTCCGTGAAGTTGTCAGCAGGGCCAGTCCCATAAATGATGTCCCTAACACTTTGAAGAAAATAAAGAAAACACTCCAAAAATTTCCTACATACTTTGCTCCAAACAGCCTAGACCTTGACAGTGCACTCAGCGACTGGATGATTTTCTTGTGAAGTCTGTAAGCTCAGGAGCTGAGCTAAAGAAATCCAGAACAGCTACTACAGGTGAAGCTGACAGCAATGGCCCACCCTCAGCTCTCTCTACCAGAACCCTTTAAGGTGGCCTACGAGAAGGTTGGCCAGAGTCGAAGATTACAGCAACTGAAAAAGAAAAATGGCTCATTCAAAAGGAAAGGGATTGAAAGGTAGGTAATGGGGACTAAATTTTCTTTTCTGTTTGAGAGTTTTTGGACTTCGCATTAAACAATATTCATGTGACTATCAGAAAAAGTAGGCCGGGCGCGGTGGCTCACGCCTGTAATCCTAGCACTCTTGCTCAAGGTCAGGAGTTTGAAACCAGCCTGAGCAAGACCCCCTCTCTACTAAAAATAGAAATTAATTGACCAACTAAAAATATATATACAAAAAATTAGCCAGGCATGGGGGCGCATGCCTGTAGTCCCAGCTACTTGGGAGGCTGAGGCAGGAGGATCGCTTGAGCCCAGGAGTTGGAGGTTGCTGTGAGCGAGGCTGACGCCACGGCACTCACTCTAGCCTGGACAACAAAGTGAGACTCTGTCTCAAAAAAAAAAAGAAAAAAAGAAAAAGAAAAAGTAGCATCTCTTGTTAAGCATTACATTTAGAAATGAAGTCTCTATATGGATTGGGTAGGGGTAGAGAGAGATCAGGAAACATAGAGCCATAGTGGAAGAAAAGTCTGAATTGTAACAGAGAAAACCTTTCCTTTCCACCTGACTTTGAGTTTTAATGTGGCATATGAGACTAAAATAAGTACTAGATTAACATTTCAGCATCAGAATTTTAGATACCTCCCACACCCCAGGCACATACCATTATTTTGAAAATTCATTAGTACATTCTTCAAAATAAGTCCACAATCAATGTTTTTTTTTCCCTGTCCCAGCAGTTTTGGCTGTTGAAATATGTATTAATCATATTTCACTTATATGCATATTCTTTTTTTTTTTGGCCAGTCAAGTGATGTGTACATACTCTTTAAACATTAAAACTGTCTTAGATCAATGACAAAGCCATAAAGACAAGTATGAGACATTCAAAACATAATACATTCCAAACAAAAAAAAAATGAAGATCGAAAATTAAAAAAAAAAGTAACAACAACAAAAACATAATACATTCTAATTTGGGAAGTTAGTATGGTGATTTATTTTTCAGTTTCTTTAGGCTTTTCTCATATAAGGTCCATGAGCTAAAGCTTGGGCATGGAGAAGTAAGGTGTTTTCATGGGGAATGAGACATCAAAGACCAAAATTCTGAACTTATGTGGACAAAATAAAATACTGTGGAGATCTCTACTTTTAATAAGAAATAGGGGCTCAAGGCCGGGCACAGTGCATGCCTGTAATCTGAGCACTCTGGAGGCCAAGGCTGGAGGATTGCTTTAGCTCAGGAGACCAGTCTGAGCAAGAGATGCCCTTCAGTCTACCCAGGGTGACACAGGGAGACTCTGAAAAAAAAAAAAAAGACAGAAATAGGGGCTCAAGAGGGTAAGCAATACCACCAAATAAATTAAGTACCAAAAAAAAAAAAAAAATTTAGACTTAAGAAGGAAAGGGTTCTTCTCATACCAGAAATTAGAGCACTTCTATTGTTAGGCCCTGGAGCAAAATCACCTTTGTTAATCATGTTATAAATAGATGAGGGATAAGGGTGAGGAGGAAGTGAGTGGGAAACGCATTATAGAAATTCAGAGACCACTAAGAACTGGGCTCTTTACCTAAGGGGTTACATGGATGGCTTTTGGGATTCCTAAAACTCCTGAAATTATATTTCTGTTGTTTTCTCTGTGTGTGTGTGTGTGTGTGTGTGTGTGTGTGTATTTATAGTAGTAGAAATTATTTTAAAAATTATTAAGAGTCTTAGAGGGGTCCATGGGATATTAATTCTAACTCATAAATTATCCTTCGGGGCCAGGCATGGTGGCTCACGCCTGTAATGCTAGCACTCTGGGAGGCCGAGGTGGGAGTTTGAAACCAGCCTGAGCAAGAGTGAGACCTCGACTGTACTATAAATAGAAAGAAATTAATTGGCCAACTAAAAATACATAAAAAAAACTAGCCAGGCATGGTGGTGCATGCCTGTAGTCCCAGCTAGTGGGGAGGCCAAGGCAGGAGGATGGCTTGAGCCCAGGAGTTTGAGGTTGCTGTGAGCGAGGCTGACACCACAGCACTCTACCCGGGGCAAAGAGTGAGACTCTGTCTCAAAAAAAAAAAAAAAAAAAAAGGCAAGGTAAATTATCTTTGGGCAAATTAGAAAATGGTGGTCCTTCCTCAGGACACTGGCAGTAAAGTGTTCTTTACTGCCATCTGCCGGAAAATTATTGTAATAACTGTACACAACTCTAAGGACTAAATGTGAGTAGCGCCCCTTGGATGTCGTGTGTGCAGTTTGCAGAACTCTGTCCTTGGTCCCAGGAGGGAGTCCGCTAGCCCATCTTTAGTGTGTGTTCCCTCATTGCCTTTTACATTTTCCCCAAACAGATCTGATCGACGTGGTAATAAAAGTAGCATTTATTGAATGCCTTATTAGGTTCGAAACAGAAATTATTTCCTTTTATTCTCACAATTCTGGGAAGAGTATACCCATTTTCAAAGAAGAAAACCAAAGCTTATAGAGGTTAAATAACATGTGCACAGTCACACAGTTAGGAGTTGTGGTTCTGAGTTGAATAAAGACCATTTAACTCAAGTGCCTGGGCTCTGACTGAGCTATTTTCCATGTATAATTAATTACAGAGAAGGCTAAATGATTTAGGTTCAGTGTAGAACAGTGTTTTCCTGGAGGGTAGTACACATGCTACTGGTGGCACAGGAAATATTTTAAACAGCATGTAAAGAACTGTTTTAATAATTACAAATTTATTTTACTCCATATTAAAAATAAATATATTACAAATATAACATAACATAGCATCATAATACAGTATAAAACCTGAGCTTTCACGCAGAGAATTGAAGATTTATGGTCACATAAAACCTATACACAAATGTTTATAGCAGCTTTATTCATAATAGCTCCAAACTGGAAACAACCCAAATGTCCTTCAATGTGTGAATGATTAAACACAGTGTGGTACATCTATATCATGGCGTATTACTCAGCAATAAAAAGAAACAAACTGTTGATACACACAACCTGCAAAAATGTCCAGAGGATTATGCTGAGTAAAAAAAAAAAAAGCAAATCCCAAAATATTACATAGTGTTTCATTCCATTTATAGTAGTCTTCAAAGGACAAAAATTATGCAAATGGAGGACAAATTAGTGGTTTTCAAGGTTAAGAAGGTGGGGGAAAGTGGGAATGAGTGTGGCTGTAAAACATAAGGGATCCTGGCGGTTCTGGAAATGTTCTTGTCCTGTATCTTGATGTTAATGTTCAGGGTGTGACAAGTGTATTACAGTTTTGCAAGATGTTACTATTTGAGGAAAGTGGGTGAACAGAGTACACAGAATCTCCATGTATTATTTCTTACATGTGCATGGAAATCTCTAATGACCTCAAAATTAAAATTTTAATTAAAAAAAAATCCCTAGGATGTCATGGATATTATTGTCTTGGATTAGGCTAACAGAAACTAGTTAATTGAGGAAAAATATTAGGTAAATAACTGTATCATGGTATGGGTGATATTCATTCTAGCATAGAGATTAACAACACAGATCTTGGGAGAGATCATCTGGGTATAAATTATTTAATCTCTTCAAGCTTTAATTTCCTCATGTGTAAAATGGAGATGACAGTGTAAGTATTAAATTATATAATACACATGAAAGCACTGACAGGAAAGTTTAGCACTGTTAGCACACAGAAATCTAATAGGAAATGTTTCTATTTTTATTACTGAAGTATGCCAGAGTTATGAAGATGGTACAAATACTTACTATACATGAGTTTATATAATAGTATGTTATTTAAATGAATGTACTATGTAAATGCACTGTTTATGGGGCCTTGGAGGTTATATTCCTTATTGACTGCCCTAGCAGATTCTTTCATCTCTCATGATTTTAGCTTCAGAACTGCCAAGTCCAGCAAAAACTCTTTCAAACTATCATTGAAATAAGATTGCCAATTTGCCAATATGAGGTCATGAATTTAATAGTCACAGACCTGGATTAAAAATCTGCATTCTACCCATAGTCAATTAATTAATTTAACCTATGTCTCAGTTTACCCATTAATAAAATAAAGATAATAATATAATCTGACTATTACAGTACTCTGGTAAAACGAAATAGTGGCCAGATTGCACTTACTAGAATTTGGTGACAAAACACACAGTAGTTGCTATGGCTTTATTCCTCTGTGATTAGATTCTTGATCTTCAATTTCATTTTTTGGAATTGTATAATTTGTTCACATTTGAAGTTGGCATTTTAATAATTTAAATTATTCCCATGTCATTAAGTAATTCTCTTTTAACTTTTCAATTTCTTTAATGCAGTTATGTTTATTTCGTTTAGGTGGCATAGAGCTGTGTCTACCAACTTAGTAAAACAAAATGTATTGGTCCCCAAAGAGGAATCATCCAGTGACAGTGACATAGGATTTCACGAAAGCCAGCAAAACCAGAAGAAAAACTTGATGAAGAAAATGAAGACTGCTCTTGGGAGGATGCTGTCATACAAACACAGAAGCAAGCCAGCAACTACCAGCAAAGGAGGCTCCACTGACCAGAAAGAAGCCCTCCTCTCAAACATGCAGAGTCTTCTTCTTAGAGGTGGCAGGGAGCTTTCATCTCCCAAGCTATTTACCAAACCAAAAATGAGAAAGCTCGCTGAGAATGGTAATCAAAGGCCATTTATCATTGTGCTGAGGCTAAGAGGAATAGTGGAATTAGGATGGGTTTTCTTGCTACCTAAAGTGTGGCATCTCTGAGAAGCTTGTCTGAATTGCAGAAACTCAACCTCACCCAGGTCTACTGAGTCAGATTCTACACGTTAGCAAGATCCTGTGTTGACTCAAATGTATATACCTTTTGAGAAGCACTGGACTGGATTACCTTCGAGGTTCTCCCAATCCAGTTAATCAATCAGTGGTCTGATCAGTCTGAAGTCACTTTTAATTTAAATATATAAGCATACATATGCATATGTATGTGTGTATATATACACATATATATATATATATATATTAGAAAATCAAACTAAAGTAGGATTTTTTTGTTTTGTCTCTGGAGAAAGTATTGATGCAGACTTTCAAATGGTTACCTCTAACAGTCGAGGGTGTAGTGAGAATGAAATGAGCAAAATTTATGATTGGTAAGTCAGAAAGGATGTTTGATTTTTATTGTGTCAACTTTCTATGGACTGTGTGGAAGAATCAGCATTTGAACTGTGAACTTCAAGTCTCCTTTGCAATATAGAAATGCTGTTGTTCACGGTCCTATGAGTTATGACTAACAATAGCACCAATGTTTGCACTCTCCTTTGTAGCTTTTTTTTTAATTAGTAGACTTCATCTTTTAGAGCAATTTTAGGGTAGTAAATGAAGTAGTAAATAGAGTAGTAGATAGTATGGAGCAGTAAACAGAACAGACATGGTCCCTGCCCTCATGGACTTAGAGCATAGAGACTCTTCCAAACATTATGCAAATATGGCCAGGTGTGGTGGCTCATGCCTGTAATCCTAGCACTCTGGGAGGCTGAGGCTGGTGGATCGCTCAAGGTCAGGACCTTGAGACCAGCCTGAGCAAGAGCGAGACCCCTGTCTCTACTAAAAAAAAAAAAATAGAAATTAATTGGCCAACTAAAAATATATAGAAAAAATGAGCCGGGCATGGTGGCATATGCCTGTAGTCCCAGTTACTCAGGAGGCTGAGGCAGGAGGATCATTTGAGCCCAGGAATTTGAGGTTACAGTGAGCAATGATGCCAGGGTGACAGAGTGAGGCTCTGTCTCAAAAAAAAAAGAAGTTTATAATCGTGATCCTTACAGGTTTTCCCCTCCCCCCTTTTTAAGAAGCGACTATACAACTTGATGTTGTAGAAGCAGAGACAGAGGAGATAACCCAAGGAAATACACTCCTCCGGGCCAGGAGGACCACCAAGCGGTTATCGGTGACATCTCTTCCTTCAGGACTGCAAAAGGTAAAACACTAAAACAAACTTGCCTCTAAAAATACTCTGAGTACACAAATACTTTGTGTACTCTAGATGTACACAAAACTCAGTGTATAGGGATTTTGCAAAAACCAAATTCTCTCTCTCCTATCATAAATTGCCCATAATAAACCCTGCTGCTTGTGTCTCCTTTTCAAGAATTTAGGACTCTTCAGGTCAGATTCCTCTACTTTCTAACCTCAAACTCTTCAGCTTCTACTGAAATCTGGACAGCAGTGGGGTTTGGAGCTTTATACTGACTTTCTCAACTGTTCAAATGTCAAGTTAGTATATTAGCAATCTGGCCTATCTGAGCATGCATGCCACGTGGAGAGGAATTCACTAGACCAACTGTGTCTGATGAACTTTTTGTGAGGATGCAAGTGTACATTGTCCAAAAGAGTAGCCATTAGCCACATGTGGATTTTGAGACTCTAAATATAAAGTGGCCAGTGCAATTGAGGAACTGAATTTTTAATCTTTCTTTTCATTGAAATTAAAATGTAAATAGCCACATGCATAGCATAGAAAATGCAGCACTAGATGATCCAGGACACTCCAAACCAAAGCTTTTACTTATATGTACCTATGTATGTTTGAACCTAGATTGCCCAGGCTAGGGGATAATGGCCCAGTCATCGCTCACTGTACCCTCGAACTCCTGGGCTCACACAATCCTTCCACCTCAGCCTCCCAAGTAGCTGGTACTACAGGTGTACGCCACTATGCCCAGATAACCTTTTTTTCTTTTTTGTAGAGATAGGGTCTTCTCACTATGTTGCTCAGGCTGGTCTTGAACTCCTGGCCTCAAGTGATCCTTCTGTGTTGGCCTTCCAAAGTGCTGGGAGTACAAGTGTGAGCCACCACGCCTGACCAAAATAGAACCTTGAGCTGTTATTATTTTAAATATAATAAGCACTTACTAAAAACTATCTTTCAAGCCCATTTGTTCTAAGTGCTTTAGATATACTAACTCAGGCCAGGCACGGTGACATGCACCTATAGTCCCAGCTCCCCAGGAGCCTGAGGCAGGAGCTTGAGCTCAGGAGTTTGAGGTTACAGTGAGCTATGATGATGGCCAGAGTGACAGAGTAAGATCCTGTCTCTGAAAGAACAAAAATCAACTCAGATAATCCTTAAACCAGTCCTATAAGGTAGATAGCAATACTATCCTTATTTTAGGGATGGCACAGAGAGGTTAAGTAATTTGCCTACATAAGTGACAGAGCCAAGCTTCAAACCCAGGAAGACCTGAGTCTAGAGTCCTTCTTCTTAATCACAGTAATGATTGTACTGCCCAATTATACTGTTAGTAGTCAATAGCCCCATGTGACTATTTATGTTACTTAAAATTAAATAAAATTAAAAGTTCAGTTCTCTAGTTACACTAGCTGTATTTCAAGTGGTCAAAAATTACACATAGCTAGTCGCTGTTGTAGTAGAAGGCACAGATTTCTCGAGAACATTTCCATCTCTGCAGAAAGTTGTATTGAACAGTGCTGCTCTAGAACATTGCTGTCACAGCGTACCAGTGTTAGTTTTGAATTTTGCCTCGTGTGCTAAGTTCATATTTATTGTGCCCCTATTATGTGCTGGCCAATTTCTAGGTTTGGACACTACAAGAGTGATCCAATGGACACAGTTGTGCTATTACGGAACTTACAAGCTAATAGAGGAGACAGACATTAAAATATGGCACAGCAGAGCAGTGGAGTTAAGGATAATCTTTTGAATAAAGTGCCTTGGGATGAGTGTACAACCATATGGGGAAAAAAATGAAACTTGATCCCTATCTCATACCATATACAAAAATTAATTCCAGGCTGGGAGCAGTGGCTCACGCCTGTAATCCTAGCACTCTGGGAGGCCAAGGCGAGAGGATCGTTCAAGGTCAGGAGTTCAAAACCAGCCTGAGCAAGAGCAAGACCCTCTCTCTACTAAAAATAGAAAGAAATTAATTGACCAACTAAAATATACAGAAAAAAATTAGCCGGGCATGGTGGCACATGCCTGTAGTCTCAGCTACTTGGGAGGCTAAGGCAGGAGGATCACTTGAGCCCAGGAGTTTGAGGTTGCTGTGAGCTAGGCTGATGCCATGGTACTCTAACCTAGGCCACAGAGTAAGACTCTGTCTCAAAAAAAAAAAAAAAATTAATTCCAGTTGGGTTATAGATTTAAGTAGGTAAGGCAAAATCTTAAAACTTGTGGCAGACAGTAAGAATATCTTCATGACTTCAGGATAGAGAAAGACTTCTTAGGAAAAAAAAATAGAACTGGCCATAAAGATAAAGGTGGATAAATTTGGCTATAATTAAAGAAATAATTTATGTTCATCAAAAGATATTAAATCAGAGGTTGTCAAGTGGCTATAGAAGTATTTTGTTTAGCCCTCAGAATGTTCTCAAAATATATTTTAATTAGTTGTCCACATTTAAAAATTAGGATTGTTTCAAGTAAAAATCTGGGTTTTTAACTTTATTTTGAAAAACTGGAAGATTTGGAAATACTAGGCCCACAATTCCTCATGGCAATAAGCAGAAGCTGCAAGAGGTACCCCTTTCCATATTCTCTCCATACCAGCCCCAAATGACCCTGCTTTACAAAACCTGCCTAGGCTTTGGACTTCACAATAGTTATAGTCAACAAATACAGAAGTAACTTAGTAACTACCAAGTGTGGTAGACACTCCGCAGGAATAAGTACTGGGTTTTATGAGAGAGAAAAAAGGGGGAGGGGGTGTCTTACTTTAGATGGATCAGAGAAGGTTCTACAAGTGACATTTGAGCTGGGGCCAGCTGGGATGCTGTCCCACATTTTACTTCGTTAGGACTAAGTCTCACAATAGTCCTAGTGCTAATCATTAAACACAAGGGGAAGGAAGAGTGAACTTAATAAGAGTAAAAGGGCATAGTAGCCAGGAACCATGACCTAGGAATAGTTTCCTATAGCAACACTGTTAGGACAGGTATTTGTAGCCAGTAAGCCAGGAACAATGGGAAAAGTATCAGGCACGGGGTGAAGAGAACTCAGAGCTTTCTTTTTATGTTTGGAGACATGGCTGCCATGAAAAATAAGGAAGCCGGCAGAAACGAGGCCAAATTAGCAACTGGATCCAGTGATAATGAGCTTTCTGGGGCACTGGTCCACAACAGCCCCACACTCTCACTGTGCTCAGCAGCTGCACAAGCAATTTCTTCTCCTTCCCCTTATGAATGACCTGCTTTTTTCCTAATGCTGTATATTCTTTCAGAGCCAGACAATCTCATTTCTCCGCACCCTATAGATATCTTCAAAGAGAGCTCTGGGCACAGAGGAAGATACATGGGGCGTGGAGAATAATATAATGTTGTGATGTGGCAGATGTTCAGTTTATAAGAGAATGTCCGAAGGGTGAGAATTCTTATTTAAGTGCCATCACAGAAATAATGTCGGTGTAGCCTAATCTGATATGTTCTTACATTTTTATAATAGGTTCCATATTCACCAAAAAAGAGACCACACTTTCCAGCACTTAAGAAAAAGAAACATGGAATGAAAAACATCCTCCGAAAATCAGATTTGTCAGTAGGAAAGCTTCAAATGCAGGTAGTGGACAAAGGCTTTTTTACTTTTGTACTCAGAAGCATAAAAAGTCAGGCTTAACTGAATGTATAGCCCTGCTAGACCGCGTGGATGTGGGAAGAAATTAATGATTGGCATTAAGAAATAGTGGGAAGGCATTTTGAGAGTGGGTAGAGAAAGGACTGCTAAGGACACCTACAGTGATACTGTGTGCTTAATAAATATTAAATGAATTCAATTAAAAGGAAGGCATAGATACAGGCTTCTTTTGAGAAGAAATGATACCATCTTTACCACTAGGTGGTAAATGCATGTTTTCAAGCTCTGTTTGCTATGACTAGAATTAGAATACTCTGAGACTTGCAAAACATCCAGCAATTCCTGCACTCATCTGTCAGGAAAAGCAACTATCCCTTTGGTTTTTCACAAGGCTTTGCAACACACGGCTTCATGTCTTTGTTATCTATCTGTCACAGGTGGATGACCTTATAGAAACAGTGGCTGATAAATCCATGAAGTTACTGGCCCAAAGACACGCAGAGCTGCAACAGTGTGAGTTTCTAGGGGATGAAATTCTTCAGTCTTCTAAACAGTTCCAAAGGATATCAAAGAGAACCATGAGGAAATACAAGCTGAAAAATGTGTGTTTCCCGTTTACCTGTTGCTGTTTCTGATTTTGTTTCTGACTGCATATAAGTTATCTTCATAGAGATTCTAATCTTTAGGTACATAATCCTGAATAGATTTCTGTAATGATTTAATCATGTAGGTGGGGCATTTTTTAGGATATTCTACCCAACAGTTTTTTTTTTTTTTTGAGACAGAGTCTCACTCCGTTGCCCAGGCTAGAGTGCCGTGGCATCAGCTTAGCTCATAGCAACCTCAAACTGCTGGGCTCAAGCAATCCTCCTGCCTCAGCCTCCCGAGTAGCTGGGACTACAGGCGCATGCCACTATGCCTGGCTAATTTTTTCTGTATATTTTTAGTTATCCAGCTCATTTCTTTATATTTCTTTTTAGTAGACTGGGTCTCGCTTTTGCTAAGGTTAATCTCGAATTCCTGAGCTCAAACAGCCCTCCTGCCTCGGCTTCCCAGAGAGGTAGAATTACAGGCATGAGCCACTGCGCCTGGCCTACCCAACAGTTGTTTAAAAACTAAAGATCTTTTTGAAAAATTGATTCTTAATTCTGAGTCAATATAAGCAAATTTTGTTTCATCATTCTTGTTAATAATGGAAATAGAAACATTTGTCATGGCATAGCAATTCTGCAAGGAAATTTTTCCCATGACTTGCCATATGACATTAGAGGAAGCATTTATAGGTATTATGACACATTTAATATGACTACAATCGAACTAATTTTAAACTTTCATATTACAAAATGTAACATTAAGGTAGGATTCATGCATAGTGTCTCTGAACTAAAATAAATGGATAAGGATGAAACTGAACAAGTGTTGTACAAGTAATTCAATATTTAAGAAAATTACAAGTGTTTCAGCCTTGGTTTAATTTTTAAAAAGATTATGAAATCTTTATGCAAGACAATCTTTACAAACTATTTACCTCAAACAACTCTTTACTTTATCAATACATTTTTTTTTTCTGTTGAAAATGGCTCCCAAAGAACAAACCAGTAGGGCCAGGCACAGTGGCTCATGCCTATAATCCTAGCCTTCTGGGAAGCTGATGTGGGAGGATCGCTTGAGGTCAGGAGTTCAAGACCAGCTTGAACAGGAGCAAGACCCTGTCTCTACCAAAAATAGAAAAATGAGCTGGGTGTAGTGGTGCATGTCTACAGTCCCAGCTAGTGGGGAGGCTGAGGCAGAAGGATTGCTTGAGTCCAGGAGTTTGAGGTTGCAGTGAGCTATGATCATGCCACTGCACTCTACCTGGGGTGAGAGAGCAAGAGTCTTTATCTCCAAAAAAAAAAAAGAAAAAACCAACCAGTAGTGAGAAATATATCAACAAAATATTTAGCAACCAAATTCCTCTTGTATTAGGGTCAAACATAGAGAAAGTTATGCACATGAATTTATTCTGCACTTCTCACAGCGGTAACTCTTAACATCATGGAACCTCTCCCCACAGTAAGCAACCATCAGTATGTTGCACATAATTTTACAGGTTCTTATGCCTCCTGAAGCATATTCATGGACTCCATTTTCAAAAATGCTAACAATTTCCAAAGTTTACCCCTTTTTTTCTTTTCCTTCTTGGAATTGCCCCTTTTTCTTATTTTTCACTTTTTTTTTTAGGCCATTCATTTTTGCCGTTTAAAACTAACCTAAAATACTAATGAACAAAAACACATCCAGTTTGAAAATATTTTATTAAACATTTTTGGATGTTGCTTCCTACCTCTTAAAGAATAAAAAATGCATTTCAGTAAAAACGAATCTATACTGAGATCATTTTCCTTTATGTGAAGACATATGAATGAAACGTACATGAATATTTAAAAGCAAAATATTTCACTGCCAAAACTTAAAATATCTCAAGAGCACGACAAATTTTAAGAACACTTAAAGATCATGTAGCTATTTCAATATTCTTAGGAATGGTGGGTGATTCGCTTATCTATGGCTTAGGATCTGTTTCCATGCTTGTTCCTTGAGCTTCTTCTACCTCTGAGAGCTTTTCATCATCTGTAATTGAAAAAGAAACATAAAGCTCAGTTGAATTTGCCTAAATTTTATGTTTAATGAATACATAAAAGCATGTTTAGCCTTTATTCGTTAATATATTTAAAGCAAAGATGGCAGTGGCAACCTAAGAATGTGGTCCACATATTTGGTTTTAAAAGTGACACAAGAAGAAAAAAAAAAGGAAAAAATTCTGTTTTGGTCGTTGTTATGAGTTGAAACAAAATTTTAAATCTGTGTGATAGATTTCACTACAAAAAAAGTCTAGGTTTTTGGCTTTTCTTGAAAACAGTCAGCAGATCAGGTAACAGAGAAATTTCCAGTTGTCTACAGTCAATACAAAGAGCAAGTCTCCAGTTCGCCAAAGCACCCACCATTCACCTGGGAGTGCAAATGTTCTTACGGACTTACTATCACCTGCCTGGGTCCTCAGCATTCCTTTAGAGTAATAAACTATTATAAACAAAGAATAATTCCAAATCTGTCATTCTTGAATGTTTCTTAATTTAAACCACTAGGGTACGTATTTAAATCACATACTGAATTTTCTACACATATTCATAAACTTGAACATGAGTGCTTTTTTTTTTATTTTTTTGAGACAGAGTCTCACTGTGTTGCCCAGGCTAGAGTGCCGTGGCATCAGCCTCGCTCACAGCAACCTCCAGCTCCTGGGCAATCAAGCGATCCTCCTGCCTTAGCCTCCCAGGTAGCTGGGACTACAGGCACATGCCACCATGCCCAGCTAATTTTTTTTCTATTTTTAGTTGTTTGGCTAATTTCTTTCTATTTATAGTAGAGATTGGGTCTCACTCTTGCTCAGGCTGGTCTCGAACTCCTGAGCTCAAGCAATCCTCCCACCTTGGCCTCCCAGAGTGCTAGATTACAGGCGTGAGCCACCGTGCCCAGGCCATGAGTGCTTTCTATTGTCATCCAACTATACTCTTGTTCGGAAATCGAAGGTTTCTCCTTTCTCTCCAAGATGTGTATTCTAGAAGGCCTACCTGGATATGAGGGCAATCTGGCTGGGACATCTGTCACCCCATTAATCGCCAGGGTTGATTTGGTTGATCTGGCTGGCTAGGGGAGTGTCTCTCCTCCCTCACTACTCCATGTACCTCCCTCCCGAAGCTGTGGGCTCGACGAAGAGGACAACCTTCCCCAATAGAGGAGGACCATTCTTTGGTCAAGGGTATATAAGTACCTGAGTCCCCTGCTAGAACCACCAAACAAGCTCCCCAAAGGCCTACCCATGAAGCATTTAAAAATCTTCATACACATTCATTTTGAGATGATTTCTACTTACTTTCCAGTGTTTGCTGAAGTTCATGGATGGTACTAAGAAGAACATGGAACTGTTTCCGTCTCAACTCCAGCTGTGTTAACAAAAAAAAAATTATACAAATTGATCTATAAACATATAGATATCGCAAAGACTAACAGATATATGTAAATACCTTATCTTCAACGCTTTCTTTAATATGTGAGAGATGCTCTAATTCTTTTCCCAAAGCCTCTAGTTCCCTGGAAAAAACAAACAGTGTTATATTTTGCTAATTGGGGGAACAGATTTTATAATTAACATCTAACTTTTTAGTTATTAAATAGAACTTTAAAAATAAAAAAAATGATAAAGAGTTACAACACTCAATTATGGTAAGACTTTTAAAGCCGAGGATGATTTCGTCTCTAACTCCTAAATTTATACTTATTTTCATTAAAATAACATTTTTAGATAGATTTTTAAAGCATAAGAAAATATAGTTAATATAATAACAAGACCTCCAAATTTTGTCATACTTAACTTTTGAGGGGTTTTGTTTGTGGGTTTTTTTGGTAAAAGAAATAAAACATGGCCAATTAACTTGAAATGCCCTTTTTGTGTGTTTTTGTTTTTGTTTTTTTGAGACAGAATCTCACTTTGTTGCCTGGGCTAGAGTGCTGTGGCATAAACCTAGCTCAACCTCAAACTCCTGGGCTCAAGTGATCCTTCTGCCTCCGCCCTCCGAGTAGCTGGGACTACAGGCATGTACCACCATGCCCAGTTAATTTTTTTCTATATAGTTTTAGTTGGCCAATTAATTTCTTTCTATTTTTAGTAGAGACGGGGTCTCGCTCTTGCTCAGGCTGATCTTGAACTCCTGACCTTGAGTGATCCTCCCCGCCTTGACCTCCCAGAGAGCTAGGATTACAGGCATGAGCCACCTTGCCCTGGCTGAAATGCCCTTTTTGAACCTTACCCCAAGTCCTTTATCTCAGGCTTTTTTTCTCCTCTGCCTCCCGCTCAGGCAACCTATATCATTCCAATCCTTTTTTAGGGCAAATATTTACATACTTGAATAATATAGAGTACTAGTATATAATATTTTAGAAAGGGTTCTAACTTTTATAAATGGTTATTATTCTCTATGTATTTCAGAAATAGGAATAATTTAAAATTCATTATATCTTTTTCCCCCCACTGATTATGTTTTGAGATATGTATTTAAAAGTACATATCTAGTTTATTCTTTCTAACTGCTATTTAGTATTCTACTATATGAATAAATCATTCTATTTATCCATTTTCCTATAGATGCATATTATATGCATTTATTTTAGACCTATAGGTAGTAAGGTGAGAGGAAGAAAAATCTAATCAAGCAGTATTAGAATATATAAAATTGAAGATCTGATCCTTCCTTTTCAAACATTATATATTTCTGTAAAAATGAAATGGATAGGCTAGTATTTGAATATAGGCTAGTATAAACGTTAGTTCCTTTCAAAGTAAAGCTCTAAACTTACTTTAATGTCTCATGCCTGTCTGGATGGTGCTGGATAACTTTTGCCAAAGCATCATATTCTGAAAGACATAAAAATATTTACCAAAACTAAGGTTTTATTGAGCCTGGATTATCAAAAAAATGTGTAATATCACAAATCTCTCCTCATCAGTTTCCTAGTACATCAAGAAAGTAAAACATTGAAAGATGAAAAGAGTGTTGCCAGCTTTACTTGATTCCGCTATAACTATAATGACATATGACATCAAAAGTGTTCCAAAACAGGATTTTAGCTCTCAAATCAGTTTTCCATCTATATGTCCTCAACAGAAGAGAAGAAGTCAGTATGAGCATAAATAAACTTAAGTCATTATTGATCATCCAGCACACTGATTTTGAAAATGCGTTATTCATTATTTGCTCAGAAAAAAAAAGCAGTGAAGTAAATATATGTTACCATCAATTTCAGGTATTAGTCAATAGCAAATTACACTTCTCACGAACTCTAAAGGTAAAGATTTCAGAAACTTAAATAATTTAAAATTTAGGTCCTTGTTTCTGTTCCACTAAGACTCCAAGATAAGTCATGTAACTCCATGTTAACCTTTCTCTTGAAATGATGACTGTCAGGATTCACTTAAAAGCCTCATTAACCAACAGAAACAGTTTACAAAATGATTTTAAATTATTTTAGAACTGATAATTGTTAATAAGTTGGCATATCTTGCTATAAATTGGCCACTGAAACATCACACATATTTTAGACTAAATGTGAAAAACCAACTTTTAAAAATAGCGAATTAAACTTCATCTTAATTAGCTCATTAAAAGGTGAAGATCTTGTTTTAGAACTCAACATATTCAATAAAGGTGATTTTTTTAAAATAAAAACATATAGATTACAAAATAATATATGCTCAGTGGAAAACAATATAAGACAAACAAAAAACAAAAAAACAACGTAAGCTATAAAAACCCACAACCCCAAAATCACCATTAAGATTTTCTATTCTAGTTTTTCATATATATATGGCACAGTTGTGATTACAATTGTTTTTTATTTTCATTTTTCTCCAATTTACATCATAGGAGGAGCATTAAAAATTATTTTGAAATAGTTTTCACAGACTGTATAAGGACATATCCTAATTTAAAAACAAAAGAGATTAGAATGAAACGAAACTTTAACCTTCTTAGATATTTAGGCAGCCTATAAATGTTTGTTTGCTTTGTACTTAATAAAAACTCATTGGGTTTAAATTCTTTTTTTTTGTTTAAAGTAGTTCTATTAAGCAAAAAAAAAAAGAAAAACACCCCTAAATCTAGTGTATTCAGACAGCAGAGTCTGACGACAGTAAAAAATTAATACTTGAGAAATACTTGTCTACCTGTGAAATTAATAAAAATGAAAATAATGAAATTTATAGTAATATAGATAGTTCATTTTTTTAAAAGAATAAATTTTTAATTAAAAAAATACTTGGATTAAAAAAACACAAAGAAAATAAACACTAGAATAATCAATACAATTCAACAAAAACATTGTTTTCAGTATACCCTTCCTTCTTCCTTAAAGAATAATACAGTTTTAAAGAATTAAATTTAGCTCCTAATTCTTTTTTATAATTCAGATTGATTCTGGCCACAGGTTTTATCTCATAACATTAAAAACTGCAGGAAAATACTAGTCAGTAATAAGGCATTTGCACATTAAATCCCTCAAAACCCTTACCCTGGCGATTTTTTCGTATTCGTTTTGCTTGAAGAATTTGCTTTTTGCACTCAGCAATTTTTTCGTGTGCCCCAGCAATGCTGCATTCTATATAAAAAGGTTTTTAAAGATAGTTATGACAACATCTATAATGTCCATCCATTTTCAGTTTTAAAACACGTTTCTAAATTGAAGTTTAACTGCTAACAAAATAGATGCTGGCATTTAAAAAAAATGGCTGTAACCCAAAGTAATGTATCATATCAAAATACACATTTTTTTGTAGCTAACATTTACTGTATTCTTTCCATTAACATTGTAATTGTTGTTATTTTTTACCATCAACCAAAGAAAATTATTAGCAGGTATTATTCCCTTTAGACCATTAAGCATAAAATTACAGATAGAAACATTGATTATTTTAAGTTTCTTTACCTATTTCTTTGTAAATTTTTTCATAATTTTCCATTTCTCTTAGATTCATGTCATATACCAACAAAGTTTTGCCCATTGAAAATTCACATTGAGACAGTGTGCTCAGCATGCGTTGGTACTGGCTGTATCTAATGAAAAAGAGAGAAAATGAGAATAAAGACATTTGTGGGTTGCCAAAGTTGAGCTATTATAATGCAGCCAAGGATGTGCTACTTAAATTATACCAAATTCTAGGAGAATCATTTGCTTTACTTAAAACAATATAGAGTATCTGTCCCTTATGTTTTTTCTCTACAAGTGTGGCACACCTAAATTTATAAACTGCTTTAGTTACAAATGCATAGATGGGACTGTTGTTTTCATCAATACAGGCTTAATTCAAACAATTATTTGAATTTTGTTTAAAACACTTTCAAAAATATTTTGATTAAGATGGCTTATTTTCACAGTTCTGCTCTCACAATTTTTTTCACTCTATACAATTATTTATTTATGTGGACAGCCAGTTCAAATGAGAAAAACCTTTCTATGTTAAAAAAAATTAATAATAAGGATATATACATATACACATAGTGCAGCAACTTTTAATTGCCAACAAAGGAGAAAATTTCTTTAGATATTTTATCTTACCAAAGATTCACCTGCTAAAAGGAATCAAATGAATGAGCCTGAATTTAACCTTTCTTTTTACCACTCTGCCTTCTGCACACTTTAAATGAACATAAGGAAGGCCTCTGAAGAGAAAGCCAGAAAAATCTACTCTTGATTAATCAAGAGTTGACTCCACTGGACATTTAAGGTAAGTGAAAATTTGAAGTATTAACACAACCTTAATATAAGATCTAAGGCTGGCGCGGTGTCTCACGCCTGTAATCCTAGCACTCTGGGAGGCCGAGGCAGGCAGATTGCTTGAGGTCAGGAGTTCGAAACCAGCCTGAGCAAGAGCCAGACCCCGCCTCTACTATAAATAGAAAGAAATTAATTGGGCCAACTAACATATATATAGAAAAAAATGAGCCAGGCATGGTGGCGCATGCCTGTAGTCCCAGCTACTCGGGAGGCTGAGGCAGAAGGATCGTTTGAGCCCACGAGTTTGAGGTTGCTGTGAGCAAGGCTGACACCATGACACTCACTCTAGCCTGGGCAACAAAGACTCTGTCTCAAAAAAAAAGAAAAAAATTAATAATATATACATATACACATAAGTGCAGCAACTTTTAATTGTCAACAAAGGAGAAAATTTCTTTAGTTATTTTATCTTACCAAAGATTCACCTGCTAAAAGCAATCAAATGAATGAGCCTGGATTTAACCTTTATTTCTTTTTACCACTCTGCCTCCTGCACATTTTAAATGAACATAAGGAAGGCCTCTGAAGAGAAAGTCAGAAAAATCTACTCTTGATTAATCAAGAGTTGACTCCACTGGACATTTAAGGTAAGTGAAAATCTGAAGTATTAACACAACCCTAATATATGGTCTAAAATCATGTCAGGACATTGGTATTGAAACAACAGTGAAATGAAATACCCTTCTTCCTGGGATCCAGAGTTGCACCATTTAATGAAACTCTTCACCAGCAGATTAATCCTGCGATCATCTCCAGCGCCATCTCCATCAATTAGGAGACGTTTCCTTATAACTTCGTCTAGAGGAAAGAAGGGTAACGTGAATAAAAATGGCCATCTGGCTCTTGGTAACTTTCAAGGACAAAATAATTTCATTCAAAAGAAAACTATCGACATGTAAATATGCCTGATGCCAATGAACTGTACACTTAAAAATAGATAGCTAAAATGGTAAATTTTGTCATGTGTATTTTACACAATAAAAATACTTATATATTAAAGAAAAAAGGAACATTATTGCGTATCTGTTGTATGTCAGGCACCATTCTAGGAGCTGGGGTCATAGCAGTGAAAAGCCTTGTTCTTACAAGAGTTGGCATTCTACTGGGTGGTAGAGTAGAAGTAATTTTCAGGTACAGTGAAGGAAATAAGCCATTAATTCTGAGAACAGTTTTTGAAAAAACCTGACCAGACAGATGTAGTCTGGGATGTTCATGTCTCTGGCTAGTGAGAGGCACTGGTAAGAGGAATAGAAAGAAAAGATTGAAAAGATGTAGTGGCAGAACAGGAAAAGAGAATGAGATGGGTCATAGAAAAAGGAATGGATTTGTTAAATAAAAGTATTAATTTAGTTATCCTATGTGTAATGTTTCCCCATTCAAAATTTTTTTAACAAGACTGTCTCCCTTTTTCTCCCAAGAGAAAAAGGAATAGAAGAGCAATGCAGATGGGCCGGGCGCAGTGGCTCACTCCTGTAATCCTAGCACTCTGGGAGGCCGAGGCAGGTGGATTGCTCGAGGTCAGGAGTTCAAGACCAGCCTGAGCAAGAGCGAGACCTCGTCTCTACTATAAATAGGAAGAAATTAATTGGCCAACTAATATATATAGAAAAAATTAGCCGGGCATGGTAGTGCATGCCTATAGTCCCAGCTACTCAGGAGGCTGAGGCAGAAGGATCGCTTGAACCAGGAGTTTGAGGTTGCTGTGAGCTAGGCTGACGCCATGGCACTCTAGTCTGGGCAACAAAGTGAGACTCTGTCTCAAAAAAAAAAAAAAAGAAAAGAAAACCAATGCAGATAATGATGATGAGTAATAAGTGGAGTGCCAGCCTGCCTGCCTCGCAGTCCTGAGCTTGTGTTCTTACCTGGACAAAATAATGCCAGATCATAACAGAAGAAAGGCAAATTAAAATTGCAACAAAATATCATTTTTCATCTATCAGATTAGCAAAAATCAAAAGATCTGATAACCCATAATTCCCATTCTAGAAATGTAGCCTATAGATATATATGCACTGAAGCATAGACATAAAGGGATGTTCTTAGTGGTGCTGTTTGTAGCAGAAAGATTGTAAATCTAAACATTCACCAGTAAAGTGAATTGGGAAATATTAGGAAATATCAATGTCATAGTATGTAGGCAGAAGAGCGCAGATGTATAAACTGATGCCAGAAAAATATCCTTAGATGTGCTAAGTAAAAACCAAAACAGGTGCAGAGAAACACAGACAGTATGCTGCCGTATGTGTAGAAAAGGCGGCTTTGCCCGTGTGCGCATGTGTGTGCCCGCCACAAGTGTTACGCGTGCATTCGGAGAATCTCTTTGGAAGGATCCACAAGAAACTGGTAAGAGTGGTTATTTCTGGCAAGAGGGACTACAGATAGAGATGGGAAAAGATGTAATTTTCCTTCATGCCTTTGTAGAATTTTTGGGTGTTTCACCACGTGCATGCAGTATTTTTTTTAAAATAAATTTTAAAGTGTGAAAGATTCCTGGAAAGCCTGCATGATGAATCAACAGCAGAGTCTTTAAACAATAGTCCCTGTGTGTGGGCAGAAGTACTTTTGGGTGCAGGTGCAATGGAGATAAACTTTGGAAGGCAGATGGCTCCAGTTTTCAAATATATTCTGTGATAACGTCAGATAAACATTTTTAGAATTGGGTTTGGTTCTCAGAGTCAAGGCTTTGACATGTTGCTCAAGTAGCAGATTCATCAGGTGTTTTTTTTTTTTTTGGGGGGGCCAAACCACGTGGCTTTATTATACACTCGAGGACGAGGTTCTGGGGCCCCAAGAGAGGGGGGCCCCGGAAGTCGCTAGGTGTTTTAGTTTTATATTTAAAAAATGCAGACCAATGCTTTCAGTTTTTAGCCACCAACTTTATTTGAAGAGACTGAGACAAATCAAACAGTCTTTGTCTTTGAAGAGATTAAAATGAAGAAAATAAATTGATTTTTTTTTTTTTTTACTATAAATGGTTTTTTTTTTTTTTTTGAGACAGAGTCTCACTCTGTTGCCTGGGATAGAGTGCCGTGGCGTCAGCCTAGCTCACAGCAACCTCAAACTCCTGAGCTCAAGTGATCCTCTGTTTCAGCCTCCCAAGTAGCTGGGACTACAGGCATGTGCCACTGTGCCTGGCTAATTTTTTCTATATATTTTTAGTTGGCCAATTAATTTCTTTTTTTTTTATTATTTTATAAAATTTAATTTTAAATACATATTAAATTCTTTCTTCTTTATTTTTTGCCTCAGTGAAGAATCAACATTACTGAGAAAAATTTCTTTCTATTTTTAGTAGAGACGGGGTCTCACTCTTGCTCAGGCTGGTTTCCAACTCCTGACCTTGAGCGATCCTCCTGCCTTGGCCTCCCAGAGTGGTAGGATTACAAGCGTGAGCCACCGCGCCTGGCCTAAGTGTTTTGACTTTATTAAAATAAAAGGAAACATCTAGGGAGTGAGTCAATTGCTAGTCTTCTTATCTCTATTCTTCTCAAGTCCTCAAGAAATCCTGTCTTCTTCCCAGACACGTGGGCCTCCTACTTTATTGAGGATTGGGAATTTCAAATGTAAATGCATTCAGGGAATAGGCAGATAACATCTGAGGGAAATGGGGGAGTGAGTGCCCTGACTGAGAGAGAAGCTAATACTAGCAATGATTTTTCAAGAGATTTTTAAATTTTGATCCTATGGTTTGAGTGTCTCCCCCAAAACTCAACTTGAAATTTAATTGCCATTGTGATGACCTGAATAGACATTTCTCAAAAGAAGATACACACACGACCAATAGGAATATGAAAAAATGCTCAACATCACTAATTAGGGACATGCAGATCAAGGTCACAATGAGATGCTACCTCACCACAGTGAGAGAATGGCTATTATGAAAAAGATAAGTGTTGGAAAGGACTTGGAGAAAGGTGAACCCTCATACACTGTTGGTGGGAATGCAAATTTGTATGACCATTATGAAAAACAGTATGGAAGGTCCTCGAAAAGTTAAAAATAGAACTACCATATGATTCAGCAATCCAACTACTACTGGGTATATATGCAAAACAAAATCAGTATGTCAGAGAGACATCTGAATTCGTACGTTTATAGTACCATTATTCATAATAGCCAATATAGGGACTCAATCTAAGTGTCCATCAAGGGATAAATGGATAAAGAAAATGTGGTGTATACATACACACAATGGAATACTATTCAGCCATATAAAAGATGGAAATTTTGTCATTTTTGACAACATGGATGAATCTGGAGGATATTAAGTGATAAGCCAGGCACAGAAAGAGAAATACTGTGTGATCTCTTTCATATGTAGAATCCAAAAAAGTTGATCCTGTAGAAGTAGAGAGTATAATAGTGGGTTCCAGAGCCTGGGGTAAGTAGAGAGGAGGGAGATGGGGAGATATTGGTGGAAGGATACATAATTACAGTTAGATAAGAGGAATAAGTTTCAAGAGATCTATAGTACAGCAAGGTGACTATAGTTAATGATGATGATCCATTGTATTCTTGAGAAAAGTGAAATGTGTGGATGTTATGTGTTCTCACCACAAAAATGTGAGGTAATGCATTTGTTAATTAGCTAGAGTTAATCATTCTCTGATGTATATATAGATGGAAAATCATGTTGTATGTGATAAAAAACATACAATGTTATCTGTCAAATGCATAAAAAAAGAAAGAAATCTGTCATTGTGATAGTATTAAGAGGTAGATCCATTAGGAGGTTATTAGGTCATGAGGACTTTGCCCTCAAGGATGGATGAATGTGTTTATTATGGAAGTGGGGTAGCTAACTTGGGAGTGGGCTCCTGATAAAAGGATGAGTTCTGCTCCATTTCCTCTGCCTCGCACACCCTCTTGCCACATGATACCTTCTGCCACGTGATGACCCAGCAGGAAGGCCCTCACCAGATGTGGCCCTTGATAAACTCCCCAGCCTCCAGACCGGGAGCTGAATAAACTTCTGCTGTTTATAAATTATGGGAGCAGCTTTGGAACTGGGTAACGAGTAGTGGCTGGAAGAGTTTTGGAGTGCTGGGAAGGAGCATTAAGGGCAATCCTTGTGAGGACTCAGAGGACTCCAGAACTATGTAGAGTCTAAATCTTCACAGGGATGACTTCATTGGACGTGATCAGAATGTTGGTAGATATATGGACAGTAAAGTACATCTTGATGAGGTCTCAGAAGGGAATGAGGAACAATGTATAGAATCAGATATAGAACGAGGTATAGAATTTGGAAGTTACAAATACTTATTTACAAAAGTGACAAAATCCTACCAAAATTAATCCAGAATTATACTGGCCATTATATGGAATGCTCCAGATGAGAAAGACTGTTCATCTAAGAAGTACACTGGAACCCCAAGCCTCCCGAATTAGGCAGAGAGAACGGGAGTTTCATTGGCATTCAGAAGCCTCAAAGAGACAACATGATTCTAAAGTCACCTTTTAGAAAGATTCACTGCAAACAGCTAATGAAAATGCAAGATATCTCACACATATGGCATGAGCATTATTTTTAATGACACCTTAGCAATTAGCTCCACACTGAACACACCTAGAACATGTATTGTTTACTGTACAAACAGACTTCATAAACTGTCATGCTTGAAGCCCTCTGTAAGCACTTTGAGTGCTTATATTAATAATTCGGACAAGTCTTGGTCCCTCCTATAAAAACATTAAAGATGGCTTAGAACCTATTTTATCGATGTTATCAACATTACTTACTCCCTAGTTGTCATGATCCCTTTCTTTACTGACTATAAGGATCAACATCATCTGGA